CTGTTATACAGTTTGAATTTTGCTTATTGATGTGGATTTGTCACTTTCCTTTGGAGGGTTCATTCCAGTGACTGTAACCGTAATTCATAAGAACAGACTCGCTGTACAAGACCTTAAAGATGCTATAAGTAAAATCTGTATTTTGGCTAACTTCCTGTCTGTTCTCGCAGTTAGCAGTCCCTTCCCTCCTCCCCAACGTCACCACACTGCAACATTGCCCTTGAGGACCACCTCTTTGTGGAGTTCTCTCTTCTGAGTAGATAAAGTGTGAACAGGATACCACGGAATGTTTTCTCTGTTAACCGCAGAAACAACCGACTGGGAGAGCATGTTATTAACGGAACACTCTATATCAGTGATGGCTGACACAATGTAGAGCTAATTAACACTTATTCTACAAAAAATATCACTCACAGCGACTTTAATTAACAGTGATGGGATGTACTTCACCACTGGCCAATTGGAATTGATAAAATGATAGTTTATACATAAACATCTTGCCCTAATGGTAGTCCTTTTTCAGTGACTAGGAAATTGGTTATTGACATTTTTTTTGTAAATCACATATTATTGTAATTATATGTTATTACAAGTGAAGTTGCATGGGAAACAAGTGGAAGAGGTTTCAAGGATTTTGAGATATTGTGGGGGGTTTTTTTTTGCCTTTTTTTTTATTGATAGTGACAGCTGAAGATAGACAGGAAAGGGGGGCAGAGAGAGGGGATGACACGCAGCAAAGGGCCGCAGGTCGGATTCGAACCCTGGGCCACTGCAGCAAGGACTCATGGTCGCCAGCTCTACCCACTGAGCTGGGTGCCCCGGATTTTGAGATATTGAACTTGGATGTGTAACTGAGATTAAAGGATGGGCATTAATGGAAGATAGATCCAAACAGCTGATTTTAATCTTGTTTGATAGAGGTCAGATCACGTAGTATACAGTATGAGAGCAGTCTGTGTCCGCTCATAGGAAGCTTCAGTGGAAGCCTTTGCAGTATACTGTTGTACTACTGTGACAAGCCAAGATAAAACAGAAACCCATTTTCTTCTGATACTATGACATTTCATTTTGTTAAAAGAGGGCAAACGATTTTTTATCCGTGTGAAGGTGACTCCCAGTTTGTTCAGAAGGAGGTTCGTTCCGTCTTGACGTAGTCTGAGAACTTTGGCCTCTCATTCTTCCTCCTCTGCCCTTTTTATCCAGTGTGTCTGCTTCAAAATGGGACTTTTTTGGGGGGAAGGATATTAATTTTAATGAGGCTGGATGAATGCTTGGCACAGACTGTGGAAGTCTCTCAGTTAGTGGACTGGTCTGACTAAAGTCATCCCTCTCTCTCTTGCCCCCCACTCTAAGGGAATTGGATCAGTAACACTTTGACTGCTGGGTTGACTAAAACTCTGTGTCTTCATACACTCACTAAGACATTAAAGTGTCTTTTACATTTCACAAGGAATGCTTGTTCAACCTTCCCTGTTTTGGTGAAGCTGTGTCTTTGTTGTTTGCGTTAAACACATTACAGAGTTCTTTACTGTTTCACTAAGAGAAGAACATCTTGTTCAGTAACTCTAATGCAACAAAACCAGCTAACCGGAGACATAAACATGCCTCGAGTGCTATCATGCTTTCAGTCTGAGTTCCTAGAGGCGTCTGTCTACTCTTGCTCTGAGCTGAGTGCCACATTTCAATCGTGCTAAGCCTCTCCTCCATCTAAACAAATGGATATTTGCAATTAGACATCCTCTGCTGGAGCAGACATATTACAGCCCACCCTTCAGTCTAATTAAAGGGCTTTCTCTGTCTGATTAGATTTGTTCCTTTTAGAATTAAAAATGCGTTGAGGATGCATGGGGAGGAGAATGAAGATGCAGGGAGGGTTTTTATAATGAGCATCGAGTGTCCAGCTCGGAGAGAGAAGACATTTTCTCTAATGAGAGATGTTATCCCATGACAGAGGACCCTCAGCCTACCTATTCCTCCAGAATAAATGACAAAATGGGTTCTCATGGTCTTGCAAAATAACTCATGTGGCTGTATAGTTTCATAGTTTCAGTGCCAGTGAACTGACTGTTTATTTGACCATTTTATGATCTGCCTTGGCTATTTTTACATAGTTATTCTTAATGACTGCCACCATGTCGGATTCGGTTAGATTCCCCTTGAAATCAATGAAACGGGGTGATTAAAATGAATCTTCCTTTATTTCCTGTTCCCTTGGAGTATACTGTTCCCCAGGTTAGCCACCACCAGCAATGTCATCTTCATTCACCAAAAACGTAATATGTGGCGTCTTTATTTTCTATTGTTCACTAAAAATCAACTGCACATGATTGAATACAAGCATGTTTAAAATGGTCTGATATTTGCACAGGCTATGTAGGCATGTACTACATATTTACCTGTCTGAGCCCCGTCTGGACATCCAATCTTATATTGTTATTCTGGTCTTTATTATCTAACCTTGACACATTCTCCCACAGAGATCGACCTATTTGACAAGGTTACGCAGTGATAGATGCCTCTAGATGGGCGTCCTTGGTCCGAGACTTTCCGCTTCATCCATCACCTGATGGCAAACAAAATGAAATTATATTGATCGTATTGATTGCTTTAAGGTAGAAAAACTCATATTTCCACCATAGATTATAACCGGCAGGGTGAATTTCAGGAAATGAGCCATTGTCTTTAAAGTCCGGGCCCATAACTGCATAATAGTGTCACCTCTCTCCTGGCTTGTTTGATGAATTGGAGGCATTTTTGATTGACTCTGCTGTTGATACAAGGTCAGTTGGTGCACAGGCAATAGGCTTGTGTCCTGTAACAGGAATTTATTACTATTTTCTGAATGTGTGGTAAGCTAAGGCTGTGTGAAACAAATCAATGAAGAAAGTACAGCCTGCTTTATTCACACTCACTAAACAAACAGCCTGCCAGTTTGGTTTCCTGCTCCAGGTAAAGGTTGATTAAAAAAAGCAGTTATTTCCTCATGCTAGAAGACTCTACCGGGTTGGTCTGCTAGCATGACTGCAGTGGTTCTGCAATAATCTCTTGTCTCATCTGCGGAGTTGCATCCCATAGGCAGTGTTGGGAAGCTTTCTTTTGAAATGTAATAGTGCTGCTTTACCATAAGATGAAGTTCATGTATTGTGTCCAACCACAGAGAAAGCAAAAAATTAAAAGACACATATTACTATTTACACTGTTCAATTTTTTTTACCAAAAGAGTAATTTAACTATTTTAATTACATCATCAAGCATGTTTCCTGCCTGATGTTTCTGACTTAAGTATTTTTTCCTTAAAAAGGATACAAACAGTGTTTCTCCGCTTCCAAGTTGAACTTTTCGTTGTCCGTGGTGTAAGATCTCTTCTGACCTGGTGCCACATTGTTGATGTAGCGTGAAATTCAATCCAGAGTATTTTATTTTGAAAATTTAGATTCTGTATGCCGTTTCTGTGCCTGACTGCCTGCCAATGCGATATGCTCTGTGCTGCTTAACCTGGTCGGGTTGTGCCTTCTATCAAAAATAGACCAGCAGAGCAGAGACACTTCTGGGACGCTTCCAGGTCAAAGCCGGAACGCATCACAGCTGTGCCCAGTTGAATTTGGGGCTAAACTGTCGCAACAGTACTCAACAGTGACTGACTGGAGCAATGTGCATTGATTTGATCACTACAATTTGAGCGCATACTGGCCAATGAATGGAGCCTGTCTAGCTGACCTTACCCTTGGTGGCCCATGTTGTTTGGGAAATTGCCAGAAGGAGGCATTCCTGCAAGGCAAAGAGATGCAAAGCAACAAAATGGACGATATATTGTACACAGCTTTTTAATAGATTTGGATGTAAGCCCTTTGTAATCACCAACATTTTCATTTGTAACTGTAATTTAATTACATATTTTTCTCAGAGACTATCAGATTATAATTACATTTAACTTGTAATTTATTTATGTAAGGCTGTTACATGTTACTAGTTACTCCCTACCACTGCCCTCAGATCTTTTGGGTGTGACGTGTTATTGGTAGAAGTAATCTGAGCAGTTTATTATATGATTCACAGCAATCACTACATTGTTATCGCTGTGGCTGTGTGCTCAAAATGTGCGTCTTGAGTGGACATGGTGTGTGAGTGGGTATGTATTCCCTTTGGTTTAGGACTTATTTAGATGCCTTCCTTGTTCTCGCATCAGCAGTCCCTGTTTGCTGAGCTGGCTCTTAAGGCATTGAATTGAAATGTATAAAATGCATTATAGTTTTCATATATGGGCCTCTGTACAAAGAAAAGGGCTTATTCAGAATCAAGGTTTTTTGTTCATAAAGCACTCAGATTAGCTTGCTGTTTTGGTCTCCCAGTAAAAACAGCTTTGATCCATTTGAAGGTAGTAGTCATTGAGTTGTGTCCATGCTCCACAGCGCAGTGCATTTAGTCCTCTCAGGTAATCGCAACAGTGTAAGAGGTGTGGAGGAAGTGAACAGATCTGCAGTTGACATTTAGTGGCCGTTGCTCAGCACCGCTGGGGTTTATCCAATCAGCTGTCCAGGTTGGTGCTGCTGTGAGCAGACAAAGATCCCTATTGATCTTAATAATAAAGGCGCCAATTCACACGCTTTAATCACTCTTGACATTGTGTCACTCTGTTTTCACTCAAAGACTGAGCTGCTGATAATGTCGTAAGGACATAAGTGTTTGTGCTTCATGTTGGTGCTTTGGTGTTTATAATGTATTTATAGGTATTTTATTTCCTCTAATAAAGGTATTGTGGTGCAGTGTTTAGTTGCTTTGGCTGACTTGAGGTATTTTCTGCATTGTGAATGGAATGAGTAAAGAGAAGGAAGCACTCAGACTGCTGCTATAAATTCTCTCACTCGTATTTATACCCTGCCAGCAGTATCAAAGTTCACTTTTCCCAACTGTCACGTGCTTCTTACTGAAACACAAAGCAGTGCATGCCTTCAGGAATATGACTCAGCAGACTAACCCAGTGTGCTCTGTGTGTGTTGCAGTGTGGAAGGTGATGCTCCAGGCAGCGAGGTGGGCGCCTCTGTGGACCCCAGCAGCGGCTACGGTTGCATCCCAGTGACCCGCAGTGGTGGGCTAGGGCCCGACCACTTGGACAGCCAGCTATACGGACACATCTTCCTGCCTGGCCACCCGCGACCCCGCCGACCCAAGCTCCAGCACTCCCAGTCTATCCTCCGCAAGCAGGCAGAGGAGGAGGCCATCAAGCGCTCCCGTTCGCTGTCAGAGAGCTATGAGCTCTCATCAGACCTACAGGACAAGCAGGTGAGGGGGGGCACACAAAGATTGGGACACTTCCATCTGTAGGGAATACGGCTGGGTGATAAAAACAATATTAATAAAAACAATAGATACTGTATATATCATGATATAGAAAGTGTATGCAAAATAATATGAATGGCCCTATGCATTATATCAGACAGAATGCAAAAACTATACATTTATATAGTTATATATTTTTAGTTTGGAATTCATTTTTATTTGCTTCAAATTATTAAAGCTGCACTAATCAATATTTTCATATTAACAATGGGACAGATATTTCTGTGTACAACGTGAAATGTGTGGCTTTTAGTGACAAACCCTCGGAGAATGATCACCCAACTCTGCCGTTACTCTCAACATTACAGAGCATTTTAGTATATTTTAGCTTACTGTTTTCCAGCCTTTACTGTTTTGGTTCAGTCTCAGCACTCTCAACAACCTCCAGCAGCTGCTTTTTATTTGTTACTATGGTTTCTTAACTAGTTCTGTCCAGTGACATGTTCAAAACAGCACACAATGAATGAAATTAATTTGTTCCTACTATAATAATTGATCTGCATAGACCGATCCAGTCAGTCCATTGTTATATAAATTCAAGAGGAGCTACCCACACCAAGATATCACAGTACAAATAGACGATGTTTGATCTACATCTTACCAACAGTGCTCCTGTGAAATGGTGCAAAACATCTATTTCACTGCTGTAAATCCACTCAAGAGATTTAAACTTAATGTAAAGAACAAACACATCATGAGTAGCAGCGGATAGAAAGTAGGAACCACAGTCAGTAAGCAAGTGCTAACAAGCAGGGTTAGGGTTAGGGTGCTTTAGTGTTTTGATGTCTTGGTTTGAGGATTTTTTTCTCACAGCCCTCTTTGAATGTAGTGGATAAATAAATGTTGTTATGATTAAATTAGGTGCTTTGTTAAATTTGTCTGCAGAAAAGAAAAATATTTTGCAAGGTTAACTGAACTCAAACAAATTTCCAGTTAAGTTTCGTCAGTGTTATGGTGTTATTGGTGTTATTATAGTTTTGAATTTTACATCAGTTTTTATTTATATATTTTTTTTAATTCAGGTTAGTTTCAGTTAGTTTCCAGACTGGTGTGGCTGGTTTCACTTTAGTTTTCATTGTTTCAAATAGTTTTAGTTTAACTTTGACTAGTTTCAGTATGAGTTTTAATTTTTGTATTACAATAAGGGGAATATTTAATATAATATTTATTGTTCAGGTAGGTATTACAACACAAACACACTCACAGTCATGTCACAGTCATGCTGATATCCCTGTCTCAATAATTATATACACCAATGCTTGTTGTGATGACAATTTGACAAAAATGGCAAAGACATTTCCTTTATATTTATATATATATATATATATATATATATATATATATATATATATATATATATATATATATATAAATATATATATATATAATTTATTTTTCTAGTTATGCAAGTACATAATATTGTTTCAATTAGTTTTCTAGTAAGTCTAGTTTTTATTTTTATTTCAGTAAACTACAACTGTGTTTTTTCACACCCAGTTTTAGTTTTTAGATTTGTTTTTAGTTTACTATAATACGTTTGCTGACGTACAGTTAGACCACAACAACCTTTTCTTTGAACATATCTTGCTTTTTCATGCCCAGTTGTACATTTGATAGGAGCTGCAAAGTAGAGGTCCTCACAGGTCCAATATGTAGGACCGGATCCAAAAAGGACCCATGGACATTTGGACTGGATCCAAATAGACCTGGGGATAATGAACTCGATCCAAAACTCAAACAGACCCAAATAATTAGAGATGCTCCACCAATTAATGAGAGGCTGATTGTGAGTGTGGTATTACACATACTGACACACAGACCCGCACGATAAAAATTGGGGTGTGTAAGAAAATATGGAAAAATATTGTATAGTGATATTTTGTTTTGTGATATTGTATCCATTCTCAAGAAAGTTATTATATTACCTGTTGCTATTGTTTTTTCATGCAGGTCAAATAAAAGTCATATAATAGTAGCCTGGTTTGGCTTTGTGGCCATATCAGCTGTGTCTGTGTGGGAAAGACACTGGACCTGTTGTTAAGCAGAGAAGGCTGTAGCCCCAGAGTGAGACTCACTGTCATGGTCTATGTTCCTTGTGGCAAGTCGTCTGGGCTCCATGGCCCTGACGTGGTTCAGGGAAACATGATTAGTGTCATTCAGTAGCAGGAAACTGTGTCAGTGTGTAAAAGGCACAGGGCAGAGAGTGGGAGGTAATATAAAACAGCCCTGGACACCATCCTAATTATAGGTATATCACCTTAGTGTAATGATCTATTCTCACTCATTTAACTTTAGTGTACACTATGAAATATACACCTGACTGATTCCTTTTAACGTATAGTACTGTCCATCTCTCTTTTAATAAAAAATAATTAAATATTGCAGCACCCAGTTTTATCAATTTATATGTATTTATTTTATAGTAATTCTTTACTACATCTTAATTTGTGGTTTCTTTATGGTCATTTTTAAGCTATCCAGTAGCACTGCAGTCCCCAAACATAATCATATTTTCTCTCTAAATCTTGTTTGTGGTAGCTCTTCCAACAGCAATTCCTCATCATTATTTGGGTCATTACCATTTATCGGTCAAACAGGGTTTCCATCATTATTCAACATTATCCATCTTCCCTGGGGGTCTATTTGAGTCTAATAAACCCCCAATTCCAGTCATTTTTAAATGTCACTACCACTCGTCTTTTTTTTCCATTGCAAAAGCAGATAAGAAAGCAGCATCATTCTTCATTCTGTCTAATCCATGTATCCAAGGTAATAGTCTTACTTTTGTAGCCAGATGAAAACAGTGTTTGTCCACAGTAATTTTCTAGAGAGATATATTAAGTGATACACCAAACAAAATATATCAACTATGATTTCTTGGAATAGAATGAGAATACCGTTGAGAAGACTTTCTGCCATTAAAAACCTGTTGCCTTTTGAATCCATTGTAACAGACATAAAACTATCCACAGCTGCTTTGGAAGTAAACTATAAACAGTCAGTTTGACAAAATAATCTTAAACCAACATCAATTAACTCGCTTTTTTTTCCCTTTATTTGGAAACTAACTGAGCCATCTCTGTGACAACTTAACAAACTCCATTTGCTGATGAGGACTGTGAGATGTGGTTGAAAAATTTGTTGAAAATCTAGTAAGTGGACCTTACCTAAGTTTTGAAACTATTTCCGAGGTTTCCGGAAGTTTCTCACTCAAATATTTTGTGTGTGTGTGTGAGCGTTTGATACAAAAATATTCTTCTCCTGGGTGAAGTATCACTTTTGCCCTATAATCCAAAGTACAGAATACTGTATGCATTCATTATCCCTTTTTTCACCTAGGATCACTATCACCCGTTGCCCCATTACAGAGCACATTTCCATTGCCAGAAGACCGCAGCTAAGGGACTATTTAGACAGTTCCTAGTTGTTTCTCAGATCCATTTATGACACCAACTTTCTTTCTCTTCCTTGCAGGTGGAGATGCTAGAGCGTAAATATGGTGGGCGTTTCATAACCCGGCATGCAGCCCGCACCATCCAGACAGCCTTCCGCCAGTACCAGATGAACAAGAACTTTGAGCGTCTTAGAAGTTCTATGTCTGAGAACCGTATGTCCAGACGGATCGTCCTATCCAATATGAGAATGCAGTTTTCCTTCGAAGGACCTGAAAAAGTCCACAGCTCCTACTTCGAGGGAAAGCAGGTCTCTCTAACAGATGACGGCACCAAAATCGGAGCACTGGTGCAGTCAGAGCATGGTGGGGAAATGGGCATGCAGGCCAAGACCCCCACTACACAGAGCGATTTCACAGACGCTATCACAGAACTAGAAGATGCTTTCTCTAGGCAGGTCAAATCTCTAGCTGAGTCCATAGATGATGCTCTAAACTGTCGTAGTCTGCATGGTGACGAAAACCAGTCGGAGCCAGGGAGAGGCCACCAGGATATGGACAGGGAAGTCAGTTGCCAGGTGAAACCCTCCCATGGTCCTTCAGAACACCGCAAACTGGACGAGATGACAGCGTCTTACAGCGATGTAACCCTTTACATCGACGAAGAAGAACTGTCACCACCACTGCCCTTGTCTCAATCTGTAGACCGGCCCTCCAGCACGGAATCAGACCTGCGTCAGCGTTCCCTCAACTCTTCCCAGGACTACTGGTCACTGGCTCATAAGGATGAGAAAGGGGACACAGACACCAGCTGCCGCAGTACACCATCTCTGGAGTGCCAAGAGCAGCGCTTGCGGGTAGACCACCTACCCTTACTGACCATTGAGCCTCCGAGCGACAGCTCGGTGGAGCTGAGTGATCGTTCTGACCGCAGCTCTTTGAAGAGACAGAACGCCTACGATCGGAGCCTCAGCAACCAGCAGAGTAGCCCCAAACACATCAGCCACAGCCTGCCACCCCGAGGGCCTTCTAGAGAGGAGGATGCCACCCGCCATCGGCCACGACAACTGGAGGCCCATCTGGCCATCAACGGCACTGCAAACCGGCAGAGCAAGTCGGAGTCTGATTTCTCTGACGGCGACAATGACAGCATCAACAGCACATCCAACTCCAATGACACCATCAACTGCAGCTCAGAATCCTCGTCCAGGGACAGCCTGAGGGAGCAAACGCTCAGCAAGCAGACGTACCACAAAGAGACTCGCAACAGCTGGGACTCACCTGCATTCAGCAATGACATAATCCGCAAGAGGCACTACCGCATTGGCCTAAACCTCTTTAACAAGTATGTACACTCCACTACATGAGATCCACACAGAACCAGACACAATCTGATACAAATTGCATGCCCAATGAGGGACAGAAGAGGTCATGTCAATTATATCAATTATTTATGATGTAGAGAATGTTTTTGTTGAAGAACCCATCATGAAACTCCTGATAAATATGCAGTGATGTTGCTTGAAACAAGAATATCTGTTCTACTTAAGGTGCAAACGAGTACAGGACGCATTCTGCTCCACTTCAGGCAGAGCAAGTCATCTGAGTCTGTGTGATTCCATTTAATCATAGATGATTGTGGATTTGGTTTCTTTCAGACCCGGCCATTAAGTTCCTTTTAATCATTTCATTTGATCAACACCGCAGAGAAACATAGCTCCCTCCTCCCCACTCTCGGGCCCTCATCCCATTCCACCACCTCCCTCCCTGCCACCCTAAATCCTGTCCCTCATCTGACACACATTTGGCCAGGGGCAGAAGTGCAGTGGGATAATCGCAGATTTGGACTGCGTCCTTACTCCTTCCCTTTTTGTCTCTCTCTCTCTCTCTCTCTCTCTCTCTCTACCCTCTCCTGTGTCTCCAGGAAACCAGAAAAAGGCATCCAGTATCTGATAGAGCGAAACTTTGTTCCAGACACTCCAGTGGGTGTGGCTCACTTCCTGCTCCAGAGGAAAGGCTTGAGTAGGCAGATGATTGGCGAGTTCCTGGGTAACAGACAGAAACAGTTCAACCGAGATGTCCTCGAGTGAGTTTGCAGCAAGTAATGTCTGTGTAATCTCTGTCACATTTGTATGAGCACATGGATCATCTTACCTCAACCCTGAAAGGAGGATTCTCTAAAACAGGTTTTTTATTTGACTTCCCAGCTATGCCAGTGCACAGAATTTTATTTTATCTGCTTTCCAGGAACATAAATCATCATTTAGTTGCAAATAAGGTTGCCAGTTTGCAATCTACACTCATTAAATAGTCTTTGGAGTTACTGAGTACTACATAATGACTCAAGTTACATCCAGGAAATAAACAGAAATAGAATCCACTCAGGAAATTGCTGTGATGCTCAGATAAACATAAGGACCCCATTTATATTCTTCAGTCCTTTTAATAGGGAAGAAAGTCGTAAGGGTCTTGATTTTTTCAGTAGTGATTCTTTGCATCATTCAAATAGCGCCTCTACTTTATGCTTTAGACAGGACAGACTTATCTGAAACACATTCGAAGCACATCAGCTCTAGCAGAGCCCATTGAGATTCAGTGGAGGATAAGGCCAGGAAAGGTCCGTCAGTGTCAGTTTGACAGGCATATCTAAAGGGCTCCTTGAGAAAACGTCTATAAATCCTGACATGTAAGGTAGCACGGTATCAGGGCTAGTCACAATCCTCTCTTCAGCCGAGAAAAAAGTTTTATTTAAGTAGAAGTGTCAATTTCACAGTGGAAAAATACTCTCATTATACGTAAAAGTCCTGCTTTAAATCTGCACTAATCAATACTTTTAAATGAACAGCAGGCAAATGTAGCACCCGACTCTGAAGTTCCCTTCATCTCTACAGAGCTTTTTAGTGTCTTTCAGAACATTGTCTTTGGTTTTACAGCCCGCAACTGTTGCTGTTTTGGTTCATTCTCACCGCTCTAACCCTCGGTTCACACTGCCTACCTGCTGTGTGGCTACTGCTGCCAGCCCTATCTGTCTATACTGAGTTTGCATTTGATAAATACCATACAATAAAAGCCTTGTTAAGATATGAATGGATTCTGTCCACAGAAAAGCCTGAGAGATTTTAATCTGAGACAGATACAGGAGTATGTATATTTTTTCTATTTTCTGTGACATATTCAGAGCAAAAAAAAAAAAGAGTAAAAGCATGTGTTAGCACTAAATTGTTGGTTTCTCAAGTATCAAGTAGGCTACTGATAGTCACTGGCTGGGGTGAAAAACTATTTTTTAATTTTTTTAAAGAAGGAAGTTTTTAAAGAAAGAGCCTAGTACAGATTTGGAAATTTTACTGAAATTCTTTAGATAACGTCTAAAAGGAATTGTCTCATCAAGCTAAAAAAAAGGCTGTATTCCAGAAAATTAGCAAGTAACTGTAGCTGTAGCTGATGAATGTACCACACATTACACTGAATCCCATGCACCTTTCTTGAACCCTCAAGTAATTCCTGTTTGAAAGGATTATGTGTATTTTCCTATCTGATATTGTATTGTAGTGTATTTCCCAACTTAACACTGCTAATTGTGTGTTTTTCACCAGCTGTGTGGTGGATGAAATGGACTTCTCAAGTATGGAGCTGGATGAAGCACTCAGGAAATTCCAGGCACACATCAGAGTGCAGGGAGAAGCTCAGAAGGTTGAGCGGCTGATAGAGGCCTACAGGTAAGAAACTCTAAAAGCTGTGGCCACAACACACAACAGGGTTTCATCTCCCACAACCAGCTTGGGCTCAATGATGGCTGGAACATGAAAATGATCACCTCAAGTCATGTAGTTTCTCCACAGCTGGAAGGAATAAAGTGATGATTTTGCAAGCAGGGTGTTACATTAACTTAGACCAACTGAGGATTATGTGACAGGATGATCATTACTGGGTTCATTGCCATGTCTAGCATTTACCACCAACACAGCATGTATGAATAATGGATAGCACAGGCTAGCTTTGCACCATTTCAAAAACACCATTACCCTCTGAAACAGAAGTGACACCAAAAAGTCACTGTCTTCCTTTAACACTCACAGTGCAGCTGTACAAAGCCATTTTAAACACAGACTCACAGACACACAGACACTCAGATATAATTTGGAGAGAATTAGTTAAAAACATTGAGAAAAACCTCCTGCAGGGCTACTGATGGATGTTGTTTGTCTCTCATTTATTTACTCCATACCTCATGTAGAAAGGTGCTCCCATACCCACAGAGAATTGGCTTCCATCAGCACTGAGCAAGGACATTTCGGCCTCAGTAAACACTGCGGTCGCTGTTACATTGGGGAGATGACGGTAACTGATCATCTGGCACACGCCTGCAGCCCAGTCCAGATATGATCATGAACTCACCTTATGGTGACTCAGAAAGCTGTTAAACGGCCCGTCTGATGGCTGCAGGCTGTATCTACAGTCTTCACCGGTACTGGCTCATTGTGCTTTTGACTTGGGGCTATGAAGTATTATTTAACTTTATATGACCACGGCTCAGATAGTGGAGAGCTCAATATTAATATCAATATTGATATTGCCCATAAATGGAGGTTACAGGGAACATTAACAGGGCAGATTAATGACTTATTGTGCCTGGAAAGAAAATGTCTTTGTACAGGTACTTTGTCCGTGATGTCCTTAATAACTTTCTGTCTCTCATGTTCAGTCGGATCTAATGTAACATATTTTTGCAAACAGCATCTAAGCATTGAACCTCTTGGTGGTGGTTTTCACAGTCATGGTGTGCTACTGACTGAAAGAAAACTCAACAAGCCATTTGAGATGAGCCTACAACATTCAGGAAGACCCATGTTTGTTTTCCATGAAGCTAGTCAGCCTAGCTTGATACCCTTAGCACTGACTTCCAATGGGTGTTTTTTTTTGGGGGGGGGGGTTGTTAAAGGTCCAGTGTGTAACATTGAGGAGGATCTATTGTCAGAAATGGAATATAATATTCATAGGTATGTTTTCATTAGTGTATAATCACCTGAATATGAGAATCGTGTTTACTTTACTTTATAATTAGGTGTTTTTACACTAGCTCTAGATAGGGCCTTTCTTTTTTCTTTTTTGCAAGAAAATCTTACCTATTTTAGTGGAAATTTATGACCACATGGTCCAAACTCACAGCCACTGGTTGTCCTGTGACCTCAGCAATCTGTATATCTGTGCCGCAAATTATGACAGAGTATAATGAGTAAGGCATAAAGTAGGGAGTGCTGAAATCACAGACTACAGGCTAAGTAACATACAAGACTGGCCCTCTAGCTGGTTAACTGTGTGTTTGTTTGATGTGGAGTATATTCATGAATAGATTTCACCAGTCAAATAATAGTACCAACATTGTTGGCAGAAAAATACATGAAATTTCTTCTTTTTGGTAGTTACAATTTTGTAACTTTAAACAGATATCTGCATATAATATCTGCATTCTGGTTTCCATTTGTAGTCTCAGTAGTATTGACCAATCATGTTTGAGAGAACAGTCTGTGGGGAGAGCAAAAGAGGGGAACACATTGGCCAAAATGCTATCTCAGAGACCTCCGACTATTGGCCGACAATTTAGCTTTATATTAGCTTTTTTAAATTAAATTAATTAAATTCATATACAGATATGGGTTTATAGAGATTATCAAGAATGTATCTTTATCTTTATTCTAATATCAAGTTGCCAATTGGACTGCAGAGGAAGTCTTGACCCAGATATCCATTATACATTTTCTGGATATCTGCTTGCTACACCAGAAGCACCAAAAAACACCTTTCCCCCAAATGCAAAATTGCTGTCAGACAATAGCCGATGGGTCCTGAGATTGAGTCAAAATAAACACAAAGGAAATACAGTATATATTGATTTCTCAACAAACATAAGTTCAGTTCAGTTTGACTTTAAAGTTTCTACGTTCAATCTCCTTCCTGCAGCCAACGCTACTGCATCTGCAACCCTGGTGTGGTGCGACAGTTCAGGAACCCTGACACCATCTTCATCCTGGCCTTTGCCATCATCCTCCTCAACACGGACATGTACAGCCCTAACGTCAAGCCTGAGAGGAAGATGAAGCTGGAGGACTTTGTTAAGAACCTCCGAGGTACTTTGTTCCCCCTTCCTGCACTAGGTCGAGCTTACTGTCACAAAACCATTATTATATTCATACACTACTGTACAGCTCTAAGGATAAATATTCAGCTCAAATTGAGTTTTGTGCATGCATTTTGCCTCGATTAATGACTGTGTCAATAAGGTTTTTTTTTGTAAGTCATGGCCAAGAAAGCTCTGCTATTGAGGCAAAGCACTTTTTAGTTGCCCTCAACAGATTTTGAGGGTATTAGCAGGGGCTTTGTGGCATGGCTAACTCATTTCTCTGCCTATTGGAGTGTCAGTAATTAAAGTACAGTATTGAGTGGAGGAGAAATACTTGTCCTCGGAGAGTTCTGAAGGACGTTTCTGTCTGTACTGTGAGAAATATGTGCAGTGCAGCAGTATGTAAGTAAATTCAGGGGTTCATCAGCTCTCGTAAATCTGTGAATTAAACATTAATCCTTCTCTTCTTTCTCTCTTTTTTTCTCTCATCCTCTGGCAGGAGTGGATGATGGGGAGGACATCCCCCGAGAGATGCTGGTAGGGATATATGAGCGGATTCGCAAGCGAGAGCTCAAGACTAATGAAGACCATGTGTCCCAGGTTCAGAAAGTGGAAAAACTCATTGTTGGAAAAAAGCCGGTATGTCTGAGTTTGCCCTTGGGCTGCTGCACGTAGAGTGTGACCACTTTTATCTTTCCCCTCTATTCAATAGCTGAATCTAGCAGGAGCATGCAGAACCAAATTAGGCAATGTACTTCTAAGCTGTCGCAGAGAGCACCAGCTTATTAATGGCCTACGTCCTCTAAAAATTTACAGAAATGAAAGCGCATTCTTTACTTGAACCTACTTTCTTCGCTGTGTGACACAGACACATCAATTCTTCAGGGCTGGAGACCTTAATGCTGAATGGCTGTAATATGTCTTTTGCCCAAAGTGCTGGCCAAGAAAAGTGCCGTCTGGCAAGCTCTGTAATAATAAATGAGATAAATAGCCTCAAACCCAATGATCTTGAAGGTGTTTACTTGAAACCCAACCCATCCCTCCGATCCATTGATGCCCTTTTCGTCAAACTAACTCCACTTTAGTGACACAAATCAGCAGAAGTTCAAGGGACCTGACAATGTCATGATCATAAAGATTGACACACACTGGTAACACAATATATTAACAGAAGGATAGTGAGGGACACATAGATGTTTGTTCTGTGATGCATAAAACTACTTTCCCTGATTTAAAATTTGGCCTGTATTTCTTTTTGAATGCTGTATAGAATGTCTTAACTTTGATGTATTGTGAATTTAAAAGTTCACTGATCCCTGTAAAATAACCCTTGTATGTATCTCTCACTTCATAGATTGGCTCATTACACCACGGTCTGGGCTGTGTAAGTATTACTCTTTCTGTCATCTACATCTTAAGTTTGAATGGAAATATTTGTAAAATCCCAATGGCTTCATGCAACAGATTTTGACAGACATTATGGAATGTATAAACGTATATATTTGCTTGTCAACCTCGAAAGCCTCCTGTGAGGCATCTCAGAAATGATGCTGTATTGTGTGCACAGGTGCTATCCCTACCCCACAGGAGATTGGTCTGTTACTGCAGACTTTTTGAAGTGCCCGACCCCAACAAACCACAAAAGTTGGGCCTGCACCAAAGGGAGATCTTCCTTTTTAATGACCTGCTTGTGGTACGGCAGACATTATTCTTCCAGCACATTGAGAACACACATTGGGCATTCCCTCATAAGAGTCTAAACCACAGTGTATGCTCTGTTTTTTTCATAGGTTACAAAGATTTTCCAAAAGAAGAAGAATTCTGTGACGTACAGCTTTCGGCAGTCCTTTTCACTTTATGGCATGCAAGTGCTGCTATTTGAGAATCAGTGTAAGGGCCACAGATACTTTTGTGTACGCTCTTTCTAGAGGTGTCAGTATGCTTCAAACAAACTAGTTTGTACGACAACACGTCTAAAGTCAAAGGTGTTTAATGCTGTTCAGAATGCCCACACTCCAAGGTCACTGGATTGCTTTAAGACAGTCTTTCTATCAAGGTTTTTCTATCAATCGTACAAACAAAAAGTGTCTAAAGCAGCTGTGTGAGGAATGGCAAAATAGTTTGAGAGAGTAGTCAAAACCCTGCCTTGGTTAACAACTCCGAACACCTGGCCAGCCCATGCATGAAGTGGGCATGGTTGTCGCATTATTGTTTCCACTGTTTGCAATTCTGATGTAGAAAAGGTATGGAGGGAAGGGATTTCCGACAGTGTTCGACAATCCAACAAGCATTTAGTTTGAAGCACACTGGCACCTTAATGGTAGCAGTGTTGTCTGTTATTGAAGCAACCCTAATTTCTGTGGAAGCAGGTTAAAGTGTTGATATCGCCTTTAGATTATCCCAATGGAGTACGTCTGACCTCTGCCATTCCTGGAGCCGACATCAAAGTCCTCATCAACTTCAATGCACCCAATCCTCAGGACCGCAAAAAGTTTACCGACGATTTGCGAGAATCTATTGCTGAAGTCCAAGAGATGGAGAAGTACCGGATAGAATGTGAGTAAATGTTTTTTTTAAGTGTGGACTGGAGTTGACAGAATCAGAAAATACTTACAACTCGACTTGGATTTTAACATCAATGAGTCGTGACTTCACTTGGACTTGAGCCTTTCGAATGGAAAATACTTGATACCTTCCCCCAAGACCAAAGATTTAGAAATATGTTATTTAAAGTATGCCACAAATCGATTCATTTCCTGAATCAACTGACGTTAACGCCATTCATTCCCAGCAGGTTGTCTGACTTAATTTCCCAGATCCACTTTCTTTGAACCAATCTGACAGCATCCAATCAAGTTGTAGAGAACTAAAGTTACGTTACTGAGTGGCAGTTAAATTATACCAAAATAATTAATTTTTTTTTCATTCTGTTGTTAAATTACTTGTTTAGGACTCGGAACTCCAGGTTTAGGACTTGAGACTTGTCAGTCTTGACTTGGGAAGTGCAAGACTTGAGATTTACTTGCAAAACAATGACATGACCCACCTCTGTGTTTTCCTCTAGATATCTGTGCTCAACAAATATCCATCCTCAGTCAGTTCAAATAAACAAATTACAAGAGAGAATTACTGTTAACATTGCATATGTGTCTCCTGCACAGCTGAGCTAGAAAAACAGAAGGGGGTGGTGAGGCCCAGCATGTCCCAGAGTTCAGGGTTAAAGAAGGAGACTGGCAACGGCAACCTGAGCCGAGCAAGCCTTGACGACAGCTACGCCATTGGTGAAGGTTTGAAGAGGAGCGCCCTCAGCAGCTCCCTACGTGACCTCTCAGATGCAGGTAATATCAGGGGTTGCCATGGTAACTTGCTTTCTCATGTCCTATCCCTCTGCTAGACAAAGTAGAGTATATACCCGAGCTGGATGCTGGCATGATACAATTCTCTCCTTTTGGGTGTTAATTGATTTGGAAACTTGGAAGAAGCTGAGTTCCTGCTCCTGTACAGTTTTGATTTGGCTGGTAGCTACAACTGACCTGCCAATGCAGAGTCTCTCGGTGAACACACACCCCCGTCCCTGAGCCATGGAGCCAAGGAAGCAAGGAGATGGTGATGGAGATGGGTGTGTTTGCTAATGGGCCCAGGTGTAATTTACTAGAGGCTATCAACTAGTAATCCTGCGTCACCGGCGGGGGAGGAGGCAGCGCTATGTAGGTCACTCTGATCAATTTGAGCGTCTTAGTGGTAAGAGGAATTAATGTTGTGCGGTTGATTCAGGCAGGGTGTAGAGAGTCGCCTTCACGCTACAGAGCTGCTCTGCAAAAGCACACTCAATGACCTCAGCACAGGGTTCAGACTAGGGAAGCAACATCAAAGAGTGGATGCAGCTGTTTGTTTTCACTGATCACATTTTACTGGCAGTCCTTATAAAGCGCAGCCAACACTGGATTTTGGAGGCTTGTATTTCTTTTAGGAACTGTTAAGTTAAGATCCCCTCCAGACATGCTTTACAGCATTAATATAGTGTTCTTAAAACAATAATGTATTTTCCACAAAAAAATATATTTTACACATTCAAATCCTTAAAAATAAATCTACCTCTTCTACCTCATAAAAAATTCCAGAATCTATGAATATGCAAATTTTGCTAATCTCTAAAGTTTACATACAAGATGTCTCCTACTTCACTGTAAAGTCCATTCTCATTGTATGTGCACTGGTGGCTTAAGGTTTCTACATTACACTGTACAAATTGCACCAGGTTTGATTGCTAACTATTTGTGATGTCACAAATCATGCTCATAAGCCCTGCCCCTTAAAATCCGATTTTCAGTGAGTAGAGATACATTTTCTACTTTTAGCAGATGAATGTGAAAACATCCTTCTAGTGTCAAACTCTGCATGGACAGCATTCTGCACAGTGAAGCAAAAACATTCAACTGTAAGAACAAGAAGAAAAGCTGATTTTTGACCAAAGGGGAACTTTAAATTTACAAAAGGTTAAATACAGCTTCCTCTATCCTTAATTGGAACTCTATACCAATTTTATTGATAGGTTTACACAAGGTCAGTTAACCACTCATGGGGAGTACTACTCAGCCTGTGAAAACAGTTGTACAGTGTCTTCTGTGGCTCTGAGATTACCCTGATGATGTCAGGGTAATCTCACTTTTGACTTGGAGACTACAAAATGTTACAAAGACAGTATCCGTTAGAAACTGGAGGCGTGGAGTTTGAAAGATGTGGACATTTACCAAACAGTGAAGGGCTAATAAAAAATAAATATAAAAAAATATATTATTTTTTGCATTATGGGAAATGTAGGCTCCAGTGCCTTTGGATCGTGGCTCATACTCTGGACTCAGGATAGCCTCTGCTGCTTCGATTTCAACCACTCTGTTTTTAATCCGTCTCTTGTGAGTCTTGCAACTAAATGGATGTGAAATGCTAAATTGCTGGAGTAACCCTTTAATGAAACCAGATTGCAAGTTACTGAGGGGAAGGTCTCCTGCCAGCTGGGCCTCAAGTTGCTGCGTAGAAAAGTTACCCCAGAGGATATAACCTTGTTGTGGAGTCGTAGCACTGATTTGCTTCTTCCCTCTCCTTTAAGTCCTTATTCACCTCCCTCTGCCGTACTGACAGTCTGCTGCTAGCTAGCCATACACCATCTTTGTCACCTAAGGGTGCTAGCGCCCCCCAACCCCGCCGCCCCACCGCACTAGACAGAAGGAATATGTGCACCTTCACGTGTTTACCAGGCGTGTCTAATCTGTCATGTTACATGTTCTGGGCAGGCAAGCGTGGGAGGCGCAGCAGTGCAGGATCACTAGACAGCAATATGGAAGTAAGTAGGAAGCAACTGATGCTGAGCTGTCCTCTGACTTTCTGTTGTTCACTCTGAGCACACAAGTCTCTGTTTTTTTGTTTCTTTGTAGTTTGAGTTGTTTTTGTTCTGTTTTGGTGGTGTTTTTGTTGTGAGCACCTTGGTCACTGTGCATGCATTGGGCTGAACGGGAATGACCCGCCATGGCTGACACATGTTAACCCTCGATGTACACAGCATGACACGACTAATAATACCCCTGACTCACATTAGGGCTGCTAGTCTCTCACCTTTGAGTCATCCTCTCTTGTGTAGCGGGTTAGACTTTTAGCCATCTCCTGAATGTTGTCCTGTTTTTGTTGACTCGACGAGAACCTGGCTGTGCTTCGTCAGTTCCAGCTCCTGCATGTTCACACAGTTTGAAGCGACTGACCCGCACTGATTCCTTTCACCGACCCCTGCCCTTGATAAAAAAGTTCCTCCCCTTTTCCTCTGTTATTGTCGCACAGCCAGCAGTGTACTGCGGTGAAAGAATCCATGGAGGCACAGAACTGTTCATATACTCTCTCAAGCCGGACAGTGCGTGTGACCCGAGCCATTTGTATGTGGCTAGCTGAGTTAGCTTGATTTAATTGTTGATGATTTGATACATGCCTAAATTTGGAAAGGCTGTCATTATTCTATATTTTTTACAGTCAACAAATCCCATAAAAGACAGTGGAGCTCGGCCCGAAGCCCATTAGTTAAACGAACCACCATTGACTTCGAGGAGCGGGCACCGGAAGTATAAATACAAACTCATTTCTGGGTTTTAGGCCTCATTCCTGCAGCACTTAAGTTTGCTTTTAGCTGGCTAACATGTTAGCATGGATTAGTTTAGCCACTTATGAAGAATGGGGCACAGGTTTCTGTGTCCTCTGGCTTTTGAGAGAGCTTTGTTTGTCAGTATTCAATATGTAAAGTTAGACAAAATGTTTCTGTCAACAGCACCCACGCAGAGTGCAAAGATGAATAACCCGCACTCCATGTTGACTCATTTAACCTTTTAGCACCCACTCTTCCACCCCTGAGATGCTAGCACTACTAAAACTGCAGATGCTATGAAAACTTACATGAATTTGAAAATGTAATATAAAGTATGTCTCAATAGATTTACTCTCATCTTTTCAGTTATTGTGGTGAGCCTCATAAAAATACTGCAGGTACAATGTACAGCAGAGAATATAATTAAACAATAATAAACAATTGAATGTGGTGTCTCCTTATTGTCAAAGCAGTCTGATAGTCCAACAACATGTCCATGAACAAATAATTGCAAGGATCAGGCTGCTCTGAGCAGTGTAGCCAACCAATGAAAGGTTATATACCAAATTCACTGCTACTAGATGTCGCACAAGAGCTCCGGAATCTCAGTAAAATGGGAGTTACAGCCAACCAGACTCCATTGATAAAACTAGTCATTTCATCTCACAGATAACAACACTTCAAACTGGCAAGAAAAGAAACAGAAAGCAAATAAAACTCACCAAAAACGTCTTTGTTAGTCTCTCCACAGTCTTTCCAACAATCACCAACACTGGTTTCGCTGAAAGAAACTCTTAATTCACCCAGTTTGATGGGAAAATATTTGCAAAATGGGCTGTAATGGCAGCAATGTTGCCCCTCAAAGTACATCTTGTTTTTGCTTGTTTTTCCATGGACATGCTCCAAATGTTATTCTCTGTGTCTCTAATTAAGGAGAGGCTTTACAGAGATAGTTTAACCAGAAACAGCTGTTCGCCACCAGAATCCTTAAACAAAAGCTGTCATTTTACCTCGCATATCATCGTAAAATAAAACTCACCATTAGTCTTTCCGCTGTTCCATACAGTCACCACCTCTGGTTTGGTCGAAATAAATCCTTAATTCACAGACTTAGATGAACACACAGCCAGACCGGAGAAGTAAGCAAAGCACAGAGAGGCTGAGATAACAACACAGGCAAAGGGATCAATCATTCTCTGCACAGGACACCGTGACTCTGTTTGCTGCTCTCGTATTGTTTTAAATCTTGTATATATAACCATGTAGTAACAATTTATGAAAACACATGTGTACATCATACTGGATCTACTAAGTCATTGCTGATTAGTTTAGTTTGCATGTTATGCATGGCTCTGAAAGATCTGCTTCATTTCTTTAATGTAAACCTTTGTTTTGACTGCTCTGTATTCATCTTGTTATTATGTTACTGTGGGCCCTTTATGAAAGAAATCCTATAATTCATACGAATTTTTCTTTTGTTTGTTAGTCCTGCTGAGTGGGAATTTAGAAACATCAAAAAACATCAGTTAACTCAGTAGTGCACTTACAGTGAACCTGAACTTGACAGTTGAAAGCGATACTGCATTCTAATGTGTGTACTGTATACAGGCTGCGGCTTCAGATTACTCTAGAAAGGCTCTGAAATGGGGGGGGCACATGAAAATTAGAGAGGGTATTAAAGAGGGTACTGTAACCTTGGAAACCAGATATAATAGTGACAGGAGCTCTGAACAGCATCAGCAGTCAGAGAGAGAGAGTCTGAAGACTTAGAAGTTTGTCTGCTCATGACAGCGCAGATACCACCGGCTCTGACACGCTCAGCAAACTGAGCCTCCGAACCATTTAGAGAGAGTTGACCGTAAGATGCTAGCATGGGTAAACAAACAAAAAGCAGTGAACCGAAAAAGGAAATGGTGTAGCTTTTCCACAAGGCAACACAGGCAATCATGTGAGATTTGAGATCAGCTGTAGCTGCTCATGCAGTCGCTGCTGCCAAAGAATTCCACCAGCCTGTGCACCTTGCACAAGCCCAGTTTGTCTTTCCACAAAGAAGTGTTTTCAACCTTAAAAAATGAAGATGAAATTTGAATCCGCAGCAAGTATACCTTCACTTTTTCGCCGTTTCCCACAAGGGACGTTCTGCTGTGTGTGCTGTGATCTGACCGTCCTCTCTCTTGCAGGGGTCCATCATTAGCAGTCCTCACATGCGGCGGAGAACCCCCCCCAGCCGAGACTGCCCATCCCGCCATAGCGGCCAGTCCCTGCCCAACTCCTCTTCACTGCTCGGATCTTTGTTTGGCACCAGGCGGGTGAAGTCCCCCAGCCCCACCCCGCAGGCCCTGCACCCCACCCTCATCTCCCACACCCCTCACCCGGCCAACCTGCACCACACGGCCCGGGTGGAGACAGACACGCCAGGCTCCATGCACCACGCCCAGTTCTGCCACGTGACCCAGAACCCCCCGCCTTACCACCACCACCACCACTACCACCCACCAGCCCACCTGCAGCACCCTCCGCACCAGTACCACCCGCCCCCTTCTCACGGCCAGCAGCCGCCCTACCCGCCTCACGCACAGCACGGCCACGGAGGCCACCCGCCTCACTCATCCCACCCAGCTCACGGCTCCCACCACCACGGCCCGCCTCCGGCGCCCTCCCAGGCGGCCAGCAGCACCAAGCCCAAGCACAGCGGCATCAGTACGGTGGTCTGAGGCACACAGGGGCTCCCCGGGCTCTCTGACTGAACTTTGATTTCACTCCGAGGCTCTTGGCTGACGAGGCGGTCGCACTGTGCATCGGTGGTCTGGGGATTTGAAGCCAGACGAGATCCTGTGCCTCCTTCAGCATTTTTTGTTACGCTTGTTGCTGGGCCAGTTTATTCAACATAAACACATTTCTTTTCCTGGTTGCTCCTTTCGTTTCTTTTCAGGTCATAAGTCTGCCTGCCTCAAGAGCAACAGTCAACAACACAAGAGCATGCACAAAGACCACCACTACTGTTTCTCCTTAGTCAATTAAAGGAACATGATCAAATACCTTGCTTACTAGTATTTTACAGACAAAATAAATAGTAATCTTGACTTTAATGTCTACAAAGTGATTTTATCTAGTTTGAGGTGGTTTGACGGACAGACAGACAGCCAGTCATCCTCAACAGTAGCTGTACGAGTATTTAATGTAGCGGTAGCTCACAGTGCACTGTGATATCTCTGTTAGCAGTGATAAATGTGCCAATTATTGAAGCATTTACCAATTTAGTCACAACAAATGCTTTATGTATATTGTGCATAGTGTTTTGTAAAATAACAATATCAACTGTTATTATTATAATTATTACAGAACAAATGGCATCAATTAAAACTCTCAGTATTATACTCGCACATAGGTGGCGTTGTTTCACTGTTAAGAACACAATCAAAGCTTAATAGTTAATAGGCAGTTCAGTAAGCTGGAACACTACTGTGTGTGGTTGCCTTTGAGTTAGGACTGTGTGAGGATTGTCGAGGGTCGGCGTGGACTTGCACACCGGCCTGTGTACGGTCTCATCCTCTGCACTTGTGTTTGGTTTCGGAGTTGTTGCTCCCGCTCTGGAAAAAGCCACAGCGAGCTGCTGAGCAAACAGATTCATCTGAATGTCCGCCCTTCAGTACTGGCTGCTTGTCCGCCATCATTTTATTTTTTTAACTATTTTTTTAGAGTCCAATAAACAATATATAACGCTCTGTGTTGCAACCTGGTAGTCCACTCTGCAGGAGGGAGCAGGAGGAGGAGGAGGAGGAGGTGTTTTTTCATGGAAACTGAAGGAGTCTGTGCAAAACTGTGTAGCAGGGAAAACAGCAACGTGACTGTTTTAAGTGTCTCTCCTGACGTGGAAGCTCTCAGCTGGCTGAGTGTGCCCTGTCCCTCTTTTGGTTTGTGTGTCGTTCGGCGCCGTGCACTCCCTCCGTCGGACCTTTCCTCGGAGCCACACGGACGCCACAGTGCAAAAATCAATAATTATCATTCTGTGATGGTGGCAGCACTCTTGTGCTCAGCTCACCACAAATGGCAGTTTTTATATCAATCATCTTTCTGACATATTATGGGATGGCTGGTTGTACCTGCCAGCCATCCTGTGCACAGTATCTGCAGTGTGTGCAGAGCAGAGGCAGGGGTCTGGTGTGCTGGAGCATATTTTCTGTTGGAAGTGATAGACACTGCACTTGTTCTACTTAGTTAATATCAATGGCAGAGGTTAGTCTGTATCTGCTTCAAGACTATGAGATGGATTTTCTTTTTTACTTGTATGTGCAATATGTATTCACTTTTTTTTGTCTAAGAGCAATTGCAATCTGGTGGTTGTTACATTTTCTTAGTTCTGTTAGTTTTGCCCCCCAACGCCCTTCGTCATTTTTTCCTCAATGTCTCAGTGAAGTGCAAGTATCCACATGGATTTGGAGGGACTGGACCTTCCACACTGATAAAGAATGTCAAAGAAAATAATTGCATGTAACAATGTATTTCGAGACTATATTTTCTAACTATTGTGTATTCCCAAACTATATCAGTGTTACAGTCGACAGTTGTTAGAAATGAATGGTAGAATAGTTGTGACTTCTTCAATTACAACTAACTGAAGTCAACTATGTGTTTATGTCACTCCAGAGGAAATCTGTATCTTTTCCTGATCCACATACAGTAGTCTCCTGGATCTTTAGTGTATACAGCAGTAGTTAAAGCTGGGTGTTATCGCAGCTGTGAGAGGAAAGGTAGAATGACACTGGACAGACAGCTATGAGTGGATCTCCTTTATCTTCATATTTATCATCTGTCTCTGTCAATGGCTCACACCTTACTGTTGTCAAGTTATGTCCAGTAGATTGGTATTCTTAAATACTTCTTTCCTCAAGGTTCAAGTTTTCAAGGCAGCACTTTCTACTACAGTACCCTTTATAAAGGCTTTATACTGTATGTTGTCACTAATGTAATTGATTAATAATGTTATTTAACTTTATTAACGGTTAATAATAGGGGTGTAATCTGGCCAAAAAATAATATCACATTCTATCTTCTGAATTTTGAAACTCCCTGTAGACTACAGCAAGACTTGATATATAGCCGGTCAATTTCTCTGTTTGCACCATTAAAACACAATACTGGATTAAAGATACTACACTGGTTTCAAAATGGTGATTAAAACCTGAGTTTAATTTGAAGTTGTAAACAGAAGCCAAAAGAGAAAATAACACATTTCAAGCACTAACAACTCAATTGCATTGATTACAAATTGTCACGCAAGGAAGGGCCACGTGAAGTTATTCGTCCAATCAGCATAGCCATCTAGTTGGCTACATCACTCTATTGGTTAGCGCGGATCCGCTAGGCAATGAGGTTTTTTTAAGTTTGGAAACAGAAGTAATAGAGAAAACTAAATACAGCGATCTCAAGGATTTACCTGAAACTGATCACAATCTAAAATCCTCTGATTACCCACCCCTAGTTAATAAGTAATTTACTAATGCTTTATACACCAGTAATAAGCCATTAATAGAAACCGCGTTTGGATTGCCACGTTTGGAAAAAATCCCCTTGGCTGGTGTTTATCCCCAGGAAAGATTAGTAAGTATTTGCTGTCGATCAACACACCAGCTGATTGGAGGCCGTAACGGCCAAAGAAGTATATCAATGGACTGACAAAGGCAGTGAAGAAGACTGTGAACTGGCAAGCATAGATGTAAACTGGCAACCCAAATGTCCTTATCAATAGCATATCACTGATTTATAAAGTATTAGTAAAGTAGCCTATTTATTAACCATTAATGAAGTCATTAGGTACAACTTATAAACCCTGTATAAAAGCTGCCATATTAGACAATGGTTCAAACTATCACTCAGTGTATTTTGCAGGCTTTATGTACTGTAGGCTACTCTCAAATCTGTCAGATATAACATAACATTGACAGCATTTAATCCAGTGTAGTTCAGCTTCTACGGAGTCCGAAAGGTGCCAATAATTCATGGTCTTTGCATTTTCAATCGGTTTTATACCAAATAAATTGGGAACCAAATTTAGTCGACCGATCGCTTCCCCAAAGTTGACCAATCACAAGGTCTGATAGCTAACTATGGTGCGGACACCAGCCAAGAAGAAACCTAGCTTTATTAAATGTCGATGGTTCTCCAAATTGTGTTGAATCAGAGTGTTTTTTGGTCACAGCCCTCCAGTTCCTTCAGACGTCTGATCTATTGTAAAAACCTGTCCAGATTCCGTGTGAGGTGCTTTGTTGCATGCCATTGATGCCTACCGTTTCTTTTTCTCGTCTTTTCTTTGTTTTGTTTTTTTAAGTGTTGCTCCATTGAGTGGCAGGCTTGAGTAGACCCTAAACTTTCAACGTAGCTTTGATTTGTCTGACTGATGCTTGTTTACATTTAGATGATTTCTGGCCTACTAGTGCGTCTTTTAATTTTGAAGTTGTGTCATTCTCCTCCGGCATGCATTTCACCTCTATTTCCACTGTACAGTATAAAGACGTGTGTAAATAGCAAATCCATCGGGGGAAATCTAATGTAACTTGATGACGAGGGCTTAAAAGCTAGGAAACATTTTAATTGTTGGTAGTAAGGACAGAGAACACATCTGTAAATAGTCTGTAAATTGTTATTATTATTATTATTACTACTACTACAACTCAATGTCTGCAGTTACATTGATGCTGCATTCCTGCTCCCCTCTGATATTTACATAATCATCAGCTGCTTCTCTCTGCCTCCGACAGGACTGAATTATCATAGGATCTAGAGATGAACAGCCAACTGTTACACAGTTAACACCGCTTTTGACTTATTTCCTCCGACGCTCCTGTTCTCTCACACTCACAGCCCACTTTTGAAGTCGAAGAGAAGGGAGGAGTGCTCTTATTTTATTATGCATTCTGTTTCTAAGTAGATGAAAACCCCTGTTGATGTAAATCTAGTACTGTGACGATGTTGAGAACGCAAAATAAAGCGATATACTGTAAAACCCGAGCTGCTTCTGAGTGTCTGTACTTTGTCAGAGAATGGATTTTCTTGGGTCTCAGCTGGATGACTGGATGGGTCTAGGAAGCCCACTTTCTATAGGCTTTTCTACCTAAACTGGGACCATACACATTGAGGGTTTAAATCTGAAAAGGGTCCTAGAATCCAGACTCCACTTATGGTGCTTTCCATTTACCTGGGAAGTCTGAAGTGGAAGCTGGGAATGACATCACACCTGAGTTAACTGTTTATCAGTACAACAAGTTGGAAAACCAGGCTCTTGCCCGGTTAGCCATTAGCTATTGTTAGCGATAGCAGCTGATAATAACACATTATGCTATATTTTGCTCATACAAACATTGTCCACAGACAGAAGTTGGACAGTACTCTGATGAGACACAAACGACAGAAGTATTAATAAACATATTACCACAACTTTGGGGTTGGTGAGATTCTTCCATCTTTCCTAGTTGGAAATCCGACATGGGGTCGTTCCAGTTTAAATTTCTTACTGGGAACCCTGAAATTCCAACTTCCCACTTCAAATGAAATGCACCATTATTTCTAAACTGTAATTGTATTCAGCACAATCTAAAGTAGTTTCTGTCTTCCTATTGGTTATCTTTAGGGTTCCAGTATACGCCTATGGCAGGGGTTTTCAAAGTCTGACACTGTGGGTCCCCCCTTTAGACCCCCCTTGCTTAGTTTCGCTCAATTCCTGGATACCTATAGGATCATGATGGTGTTATCTGATCCCATAAACACTCAACAATTACCTTTATAATGTATCAACAAGTACATAAAAGATATGTCCGAAGGAATTTAAAAGTTTCTGACTCAAAAAACAACAACAAACAGTTAAATTCCCCAGAACAACTGTATCTCTAAACTATCTCTTTAACAAATCATACACATTTAGGTAATTCTATGTGATCTCCTTTTAATAACTAATGTGATATTTTTCACCTCCCATGAAACTGTTGAAAACCTCTGGCCTATGGTATTTAGGATAATCATCCAATGAATCAATGTAAGTCCACAAAAGCAAGACATTGGCCAGACCTTTATAAAGGTCATACAAAGGTCCCTATAGCAGTTCTATTTCCTGTACATTTTAACTCCCAACATGGTGGTCAAAGTGCTGTTTCAAAGCATTTACCACAGTGCCAGCAATAATTCTGGTGGATAAACACAGAATGAATGTATTTATGTATTTCTTAATGAATTAATTTATTGCCTAAATAGTCCAAGTAAAATATATTGTGGCCCTCAAAACGTATTATGTGTAGAATGGAAACTCCCCCTTGGGTCAAGTTCCCATAATAGAATAGAATAGATCTTTATTGTCATTGTCACAGGTACAACAAAATTTAAAGTGCTCTCCGATCAGTGCTTAATTTAGCATAAATTTGAAAAATAATAAATAATCATTTAAAGTGCTAAATAATTTAAGTGCCAGTGTTAATAAAATAAAAACATATAACATAATTAGCAGCATACATAGACACACAGTCCTACACACCCAGTCATTGAATATTGCATAATGCAATCAGTAAGATCTTTTGTTAGACCCTCCCTGCTTGATAAATTCAAATGTAATCATAACTCCACTCCCACAGTTTGTAACAGACTTTGTGTGTATTCTCTGGCTCAAGCTGAGGTAACCTTTTTCTCAGACTTGACAGAGCTCCCTCCAGAGCCATAAAAGCGTCTATTTTATGGCCATGACGAGTAAATTGACCTTTATGTGTATAATTGGTGGAGTTCGCCTTTAAAATCCCACATTCCCAGAAACAATCCTGCATACATGACATCTGTGTTCTTAGTTTTATGGCCATACCCAAAAGTGATAGGAATTTGTTTGCGTTCTACAGAGGCCTTCGTCAGGGGCAGCGGGGTATCTGTGTAAACCTAAACAAGGTTCTCTGAAAGTCGTCACTGCTGACGAGTTAAAACAGCTACACTGATTCTTTCCTCAGTCTTGCACAGCCACCGTGCCTGGCTGGCTGCCTGACTGTGGCAGGTGGTCTGAGTGACAGTTTGCCCTGTTTGTCTGTCCGGCCCTTGAGGTTGGAGCTAAAAATAGATCCCAGCTTTGAGGGCCACATCCTCAGTGTCAGCAGGACGACGTCATCGTGCTGCCGGGAGGGGCTGAGCTCAGGGCTTCATTTCCTCTGCCAGCAGAGAATGGTTTGTATTATAGACCTGTACATTCACTGATACTTACAGACCAGCTGTTTGTATTTTGATCTTATTTCTGTTTGTAGACAGCCTGATATTTCGTATTCTTCCAGCTTGTTGATTTTATGGTGGATAAATTAGTCCACATTTATCAATAAATTAGTTTATTAAAAAACAAGTTCTCCCTCATTTTGACAGGGTACAGTTTTATTTATTTTGCCTCCACTGCTTAGTTTCTTTGTACATTGCGCCACCAAGTGGTCTTCTCGCATCACTAATATGCTGTTGTGCTATATTCAGGTGCTGTCGGAAATATCACAATATCATCCACTACTGAGAAAACTGTCCACTTCTGTGGAGTTTACATTGTACAATTAAAAGCTAAAACTTAGTGGAGTAGTGAACATTTTTTATCTATTTAAATTTGAGAACTTATTTCCCCATTAGAATATTTTTTCAGTTTACTCTAAACCCTTTAAAAAATAAATAATTTGCAGACAATATAATAATTTGACCAGATTATTATTTTGTAAACAAAATACGAACTATTCAAAAACGTTATTCAATGTTTTGTGAAGGATTTAGACCTACGGCCACAATCTGAAGGTAGAAGATGGACAATCTTTTTAAAAAGTGATTATTGATATTTCCCGGAAATATTCTCAAAATAAATGTATTTTAAAAATACATTTGCAAGGAAAATACCTTCCAAACCTTACATTCATAAGACAATAAACTGACGTATGTAGGTTCAGATAATGAATCATTCACAAACGTTTCCTTCGTTTTTCTGCTTTTTCAAATACATTTGGTTCCAAAGTAATATGCTCTAAAAAGTTAAATGCGCCTTTTCAAACGTGTTACTGTGAAGTTTGCCGTTTACGAGGGTCAGTGAAGGTGTTATCTAACTAACTGCGTACGTCATCAGCGTGCGACAGAAACGGGTGAAAGGTCTCCTGCCTGAGGTTGTACATCCTTCCTGAAGCAGAAGAAGAAGGAGGATGATGATGATGATGATGATGATGAATGGAAACAGACTGCTCGTCTTCAATAAATCTGTTCAAATAGGAAAGCGGCTGCTCGTCTGGAACGCGAGGCATGCCGGGAGAGAAGTGCTCCGTGCTCAGCAGCGGAGGACCGTTAGGACTCACTCCAGAAACTTCGCGTACGCCAAAGATCTGTTCCTGGGTCAGGTCAACAAGGTACTGAGGGGAGACGATGAGTGTGTGTGTGTGTGTGTGTGTGTGTGTGTGTGTGTGTGTGTGTGTGTGTGTGTGTGTGTGTGTGTGTGTGTGTGTAATCTCATTTGGAAATGTGTAAAATTATCTGTAAATATATGTGTGTGTGTGTGTGAGGGGCAGAGATTTGTGTGTGTGTGTGTGTGTGTGTGTACAACAGTAGCCACACCCACTTCTGTCTGACGAAAGCCCCTGAGGTCATAGTCATAGTTTGGGAAATGAACGTGTACCGGGGGTGAGGTGAGGGGTCGGCGCCCACCTCCGAAGGCCTGAGTGGGGCTTACGGTGGGGTCAGCGCCGGGGGGTCAGCGCCGGGGCGTCAGGAGCCAAACCCCGCAAGGAAACCAGTAAAACCGCCTCCCTGTCGTCAGACTGGGTCGGCTGCTTTTACACTGAGCTCAGCTCCTGTTAACTAACTATCTGCACAGTTTCATAATGTGACAGAGAGCAGCCAGAGGACAACAGAGGGGAAACCAGACAGTAGTTCCTCCATGATAATACCATCCACACATCCACCAAATCAGTGAATAAAGTTTACAGTTGTGTGTTTGTACCACTGACAGTAACTTATATATATTATATATAAGGTTGGTACAGTAATCAGTGTGTTTGTACCACTGACAGTAACTTATATATATTATATATAAGGTTGGTACAGTAATCAGTGTGTTTGTACCACTGACAGTAACTTATATATATTATATATAAGGTTGGTACAGTAATCAGTGTGTTTGTACCACTGACAGTAACTTATATATATTATATATAAGGTTGGTACAGTAATCAGTGTGTTTGTACCACTGACAGTAACTTATATATATTATATATAAGGTTGGTACAGTAATCAGTGTGTTTTCATCCAGCAGGTTCCAACCTAACTCTTGTCTGTTTGTGGTTTGATAAACTTTAAGTCACTTAAATGTCCCATATCGCTCTTCTCCTGGTTTCCTCTAAAAGTAGGTTAAACATCGAAGACAGCGCAGCAGCGTCTCTCTGCAGACTGCTGATCTGTAGTCTGTACAGCTGCTGATGCACACACACACACACACACAGATTGAGATACAGTTACACAACTCTCCACACACATTGGTGAATAGCTCCATAAGCAGCACCCTGAACCTCCATCAGTGTCGGTGCTAACTCCTACGTTTACCCTGCTGTCTCCTGTCTATGCTTACCATCTGAACTCTCTTTGGCTGTAAAGAGCGGGGTTATTCATTTTCTGAAACACTTCGATGTTTCTCGTCCAGGCGGAGGTCTTCCCTTACCCAGAAATTGAAAGTGAAGAAGTGGAGGAGCTCAACCAGCTGGTTGCACCGGTGGAACGATTCTTCAGTGAACAAGGTGCTATCAGCAAGCTACAGCTTACATACTGTAACTCTGCTTGAATTAAGTAAAGAATTCGGTGAACTGACACTGAAAGACTTTGGTTTTGCCTTTGGTTTGTGATTTCAGTTGACTCAGCAAAGATTGACAGAGAAGCTAAAATCCCTCCAGAGACTTTGAATGGGTTGAAGGAGCTCGGGCTGTTTGGCGTCATGATTCCTGAGGAGTACGGTAAGAAGACAGCGGCTGCTGGAGCGAGCCGCTTGTAGGTTCTGTGTTAGTCTAATGACAGTGTTCACTAAGTGGACATTTACACAGCACCGCGTTAAAGCAGGTTGAACCCATATACTGTCAATGGTTGAACCACACAGTAACTGTCAGCTGTAGTTGACCCTTCTTAAGTCCCGCCCCTTTTTGGTCTGAGCTCTTAACAGTGGGGCTAGCCTCGGTCAATATAACAAATAAATAGACACACATTTAGGTAGCTAATGTAAGCAAAACACGGGCTAACTAACAATTGATGTAAATTAGCCAGCTAGTTAGTAAACGTTTTGCTAACATTAGCTAGATAGCAGAGGGCAAAAAGGGGCGGGGCTTAGGAAGGGTCAACTGACAGAGCTAAGGTTAGCTCGTTATGACCCACGTTTAGACTGAAGAGTAAATAAATGAGGTAACATAAAATACGGTTCTTGATCAAAATGCTAACAATGTAAAACTGGGAAGATTTAAATCCATTTCACAAAAGATACAATGTGTCAAACAGTGAGCTGAATGAGAGAATACTGCGTTGACTATTTCAGCCCTATTCAGTAAATAACTTTAGTTGATAGAGTAGCCTATAGCTTAAACTCTGCCCTGTGTTTGAAAGTGACTCTGAACTCCTTGATGGTCGGCTGTTAGTGGTGTCTGCTGATGATCTGCAGGATTCCTACACATCAGTCTATACACAACCCTGACTTTAAAATGCCACCACAACTGTTTCTCTCACACGCCCCTGCAAGTCAGAAATACAGTAACAGTCCTATCATGTCTTACTAGCACACGTTGAAGGCAGTGTCTTTTTTTTTTGTCTACCAGGGGGTCTTGGATTGTCCAACACCATGTATGCACGACTGGCAGAGATCACCTCATTAGATGGCTCTATTGCTGTAACACTGGCTGCACATCAAGCCATTGGACTCAAGGTAAAAGATAAAATAGTGTAACAAAGTTGAGCACGAAACTTGCTGTTCTGGTAGAAAGGCCTTGTCTCGTCATCTGCATGTCTGCTATATGGAGGAACTGGAGGGAAAGTGCTAGTCTATGATAACAGGTGATATGCTAACAGCTGCTTGGTGTTTCAGGGGATTCTGATAGCAGGAAATGAAGCCCAGAAGCAGAAATATCTGCCCAAACTGGCCTCAGGAGAACACATCGCAGCTTTCTGTCTCACAGAGCCTGGAAGGTAAAGGCAACCTTATTTACATCTTGTTTACAGTGTCCCTCTGCAGCTGCAGCTATGTTCTTCCATGAGTAATTTGGACAGTCCTGTATGCTTTGTATAACACAACGAGGTGCTCTGATATACAGAAATAACAGAGGACGTAGAGGTGAGGTAAAAAAGGCGACATATCCCCAGTTTACTGATGTTAAACCTGGAGCACGGTGATTTAGAGCAGCGGTTAAAGCTGCAGTAGGTAATTTTAATAAAAAAAATGTTTTGTCATATTTGCTGAAACTTTCACTTTATCCTGACAGTAGAACACGAGACAGATAATCTGTGATAAAATCTGGTTCTTCTGGCTCCTCGTAGAGCTCCTAATGGCATTTGCAAGAATGCACCGGTCCTGAGTGAAAACGACCAATCAGAGCCAAGAAAGATAGGCTCATTCCCAGAGCGACAGACGCTTTGGGACCCCGGGAATGAGACTCAACAATCAACTATCTTCAAGCCCCCAACCCAGAGCGTCTTTATATCTTTCTCGGCTCTGATTGGTTGTTTTAATTCAGTGTATTGATATGAAATGATATCACCTGTACTTTGTGTCTCCGTTTATGGTTGGATTGGTTTCACTTACACTCCATTTGATGATTTCAGTGGAAGTGATGCAGCCTCCATTCAGACCCGCGCAACCCTGTCAGAAGATGGAAAACATTACCTGATCAACGGCTCCAAGGTGAGCGGAATCATTTTCAAATGTACATCGTAAAATCCTCTCGCAGTCTTCGTTTTGCCTTTAACTCTAAAGACTCGTCTTCCTATTTGTGTTATCAGATCTGGATTTCAAACGGAGACATGGCGGATATTATGACAGTGTTTGCCAGGACCGAGGTGGTTGTAGATGGCGTGAAGAAAGATAAGATTTCTGCGTTTATCGTGGAGAGGGCTTTTGGGGGCATTACCAGCGGCAAGCCTGAGGACAAACTGGGCATTCGTGGCTCCAACAGTAAGCCCCCCCATGAGTTTGGATAAAATGAACAATGTGCCTCAGTGGTCTCTGTAAAGTTTGAACCTTTTCACGTCATTTGTAATTCAACTTTTTCAGCTTGTGAAGTTTCCTTTGACAACGTCCCGGTGCCAGTGGAGAATGTAATTGGAGAAGTAGGTGGTGGATTCAAGGTAAGCTTTATCCTGTGGTACAGATGAGTGTCTGTAATGTTATGTTGATTTGTACACCAAACTTTCTTTGCTTTGTATTGTACAGGTTGCCATGAACATCCTGAACTCAGGGAGGTTCAGTATGGGCAGTTCCTCAGCTGGAATGATTAAGAAGCTGATCGGTAAAAACCCTAACTGATTAAATGATAATCCTGGTATTTGTAAACCTGCGCCTTATTTCTCCATATGTTTGGATCTGAATGACTGACAGTATTATGGAAAGTACCCCTACAGAGGTAGACCTTTTATATTACATTTTTGGGCTGTGTGTCCCATTCTTGTGAACACGATATCTTAGGAACATTTGAGGGAATTTCTCCAAATTTTGCACCAACGTCCACTTGCACTGGATGAACTGATTACAATTTGGTGGTCAGTGGCGCCCAGATGACTCAACTGGTAGAGCTGGCCCCCCATGTGCTGGCGCTGAGTCCTTGCTGTGTCGACCCAGGGTTTGAGTCTGGTCTGTGGCCCTTAGTCATCCCCTCTCCCTCCCCCCTTCCCTGTTTCTCTTCAGCTGTCCCTGTCGATTGAGGGCAATAAAAGCCCCCAAAAATATGAAAGAATTTGGTGGTCAAAGGTCAGTGTCACTGTGACCTCACAAGTGATTTAGACCCCAAAATATGTAAAAACAAAATAAGGCCCAGGTTTAAAAATACTGGCATTGCCCTTGAAGAGCTAACGTGTGGGTTTTGTAAAATATCTTCAGTTTGACTTTGTCTCTCTCTGGCTTTCTGTAGAATTGACCTCTGAATACGCTGCAAGCAGAAAGCAGTTTAACAAAAGCCTTGCTGAATTCGGTATGATTCAGGTACGGTCGACCGTTCCGTCGCTGGAGTCTTGTGAATAATCACGCCTTCTCAGTCTCAGTCTGGCCAGAGGTGAATAAGGTGTGTTTTCCTTGTTACTGTAGGAGAAGTTTGCTTTGATGGCTATTAATGCCTTTGTGATGGAGAGCATGGCGTACCTGACAGCAGGGATGATGGACAGACCGGGTCTTCCAGACTGTTCTCTAGAGGCCGCCATGGTCAAGGTTAGAAAGCTTTGTCATTTAAACTGTTCATGCAAAATCAGAGTAAAACAAAATGTCTCATAATGTGTAATCTATGTCTTGTGTTCAGGTGTTCAGCTCAGAGGGGGGCTGGATTTGTGTCAGTGAAGCTCTTCAGGTCCTCGGGGGTCTGGGTTATACGAAGAACTACCCCTACGAGCGCTACGTCAGGGACTGTCGGATCCTGCCTATCTTCGAGGTACTCTAATAATCGCTGTACTTAACACTGAAGTCACCAAAGGTCATGTCCCTCCATTCTGTGATTACACTCATTCTGATACTTTTAGACTAAATGTCTTAAAAGTAGGTAAAAAAAAAATAATTATTCTAAAAAAAAGGGGTTTACAGAATGCTCTGAATGAACATTTAGGCCATCACTTTGGAACAGACAAATAAATAAATAACCAATAGAAAATAGTTTCTAGTATTCAGAAATGTTTACAGTTTGTTTGGTAGCAAGTCGAACGTTTTTGGAAGAACTTGGACTCCTTGGTTAAAACATATTGAACAGTATTTGGTCTGTGCTGAGGCTCTACTCTGTAAGTGGCCACCAGGTGGCGCACTTTACTTTGGGATCATTTGAGGATTAAGGATTCTTTCTGGAGTGGGATGAACGGGGACTGAGCTGACTTTATCAGCCATTTTCAGGTGATCCCTACCTTGTGTTTGTGTCACAGGGATCAATCATAATGAATCAAAATCATGTTTTTTTTTTTATAATTTAGATTTCACATTTTTTTAAATATGATTTTCCATCTTTTAAGACCCTTTTATGCTTTTATCTATAATACAATTTGGAACTTGCAAATATCAGAAAGCAGTGTGCTTCCTTGTCCCACAGTCACACACACACACACACACACACACACACACACACACACACACCACCTTTTACGTTGTGCTCTTCATTGGCTGAATCGCCACTTACATACAGTATAATCAATGTGAAATTGATAGCGAGCTATGTTTAGGTACTGTTGTCTGTTTTCAGGGGACCAATGAAATCCTGAGGATGTACATCGCTCTCACTGGAATGCAGTATGCTGGCAAAGTCCTCACAGGGAAAGTAAAGTAAGAATATGAAGCACACATGAAGCTGGGAAATGATAACTGCATACTGTTGTTTTGTTTTGTTTTGGCCTCTTTGGACTTCCAAAACAACCTGATTATCATATACAGGTTCGACATGTTATCATTGTATAAAGTTGTTAATGCTAACACGATAGCAGAGAGTTGCCTGTTTCTCATAGAAAAACATTAGCATTTAACTGGAGTTTGTAGCCACGTGATGAAAGTCCTTCTAAATGCTCCGCTATGTTCACCAGCTAGGGTTGGTATTTTCCCTAAAGTACCATCACAAGGTTGTGTAATTCATCAAAACTTCCAGAAGGGCCTTTAGCCAGTCCTTAGTCGCTCAGTCTTTCCTCTGCGCGGCCTACAGGGAGATGAAGAGAGGAAATATAGGCCTGGCTTTGAGCATGGTCGGCAAGAACCTGAGGAATTCATTGGGAGGTTCTGTGGACCTCGGCCTGACGGGACCAGATGGAGTGGTGCATCCCAGCTTGGCAGTAAGAATGAATTTAACAATAAGTTTTCTGCGAGCCTTAGGTGTACGGTATTTGTTGTTTTCTAGAGGCTCAGTACTTTTCTGTTTACAGGAAAGTGCAAAGAAGATGGAACAGAATGTCAGCCTTTTCGGGTCGACTGTGCAGAGCCTGCTGTACAGATATGGAAAGGTAACATTGAAAAAAACTGCTGTGGAATTTTCCTGTTCAAATATTTCCTTTGAACAACATTCTAATTTTGGCTGTTTCTTAATGACCGCAGAGATCTCTTTGTGTGTTCCGATCAGTGTTTGTCCATTAGACAGCTGCTCCAAAGCATTCTATTTTTCTTCTGTGACTGTGCTTTTGTAATCACAGCTTCCCCAAAGAAGCTATAAACCTCTTGGAAACGGCTCAGCTTTCCAAATCCCCACTTCCTGTATATTTGCCTTCGTTCTGATCCACTTTATGAGAAGTGTCCTAAGAGGGTATTCATCACACTATCTTCCGCTGCTGAAGAACAAGACCTTGAACACTGCAGTGCTTAAATCAAAGTAAATACACCCTTTAAGTTTAATGGTCAAAAACGCATGTACGTTTTTTTTTTCTAGACCATTAAAGATCAGACCCGGGACACTGAGAGATTTTGAGGAAATTGGGACACAAGTATGGGCTGGTGGTTCCCAGATACTCCTGTCCTCATGTTGAAGTGTCTTTGAGCTCTGAATACAATGAGACCCAAATTTCAGTATTTAAAAAGGTCCGCGTCTGTGTTCACATGATGGTTTTGTGCATTGGAGAGGAAGAATAAAATGACAGTAAACGTGTGACAGTCGGTCACTGTGGGGCTCATTACCGGTTGATCACAGCAGTGCCTATATGTCCCTATGATGGCATTTTAAACTTGGTTAAAAGAAAACCCTTTGGTTTTTCCTTTTTATTTGATAGTTTGGCACTGATGACACAGACAGAGAACATACGAGGGGGGGGGGTGTATCCATTGTATGGTACACACACTAACCACTGTGCCAACAGTGTGCCAACAGGGCAGCACAAAGGGAACTGAAATTACAGATTTCATCACGTTATTGATTGACTGAACTAACCAATTTCAACCAATTATGTCATGACATTTACCCGTCAATCAATCTTCAACTTTTAGCGATACAAAGCTAATTCATTAGCAAGCTAGCAACAGCATGGCTAGGGGGGCCGGGTCTCACTGATTACTGTACAAAAACCCAACTCAATCAGTGGTTTGGGTGAAAACCGATCATATTTTATGAAGGAAATCATTTTCTGGTTTTCCCTCTGACGTCCTCCGGCTGCTCCACGTCAACGCCGCTGACTGCCCCCGGTAGCGTGCAATCGAACGGGGCTCAGCTTCCACGCCATTGGCTAACGCAACAAGCCCCTCCCCAGCTGCCTGTTTTTACAGGAAATACGTCAGTATGCGGAAGCAAACAGCACTCTGATTTTCCTTTCATGCGGGCTTTAAAGGATAATTCTGGTACCGTTACTATTTTATTTTCGTACTCTCGGCCATCATCTCAACTGGTTTTGATAGATTGTACTCACCAAAATGACTGCTGAGATCTGACAGCACAGCAGGGGCAACACACATGACAGTAAGCACAGTGGGTCAACATTCAACAGAGAAGCCAGACTGAACTGTGATGGATAATTACAATTGACAGTTTGAACGGAGAGTTTGTGTTCTGATCACAGCATTGAACTTGATACAGTATTATTACTGATTGGAATGAAGACTGAAACTATGAAAAGAAGACCCACATTATAATAATCTGTAATTACTACTAATTAGTAGCTTGAAGTGGTTAGAGAAGGCTTGACTGTGTGCTGTAATAACTGTGGGTTGTGCTCTGTGTGAGTTATGGGATTCAGGCCCACTCTACTTCACAGTTGTGTATTTTGACACAAACTCCAAAACCCCTCCCACTGAGAGCTCAGTTTTCCTCTTAAGCCTCAGAAAGATTTAAACCTGCCGAGAGAAAAACCATCCAGTTCCCACTAAGTTCAGACACCACAGGTATCGCATATTAACCCAGAGGTATCTGTATGGTCTCTGTCAGGAAATCTCCAAACACAGGAAGTAATTAATCACAATTTAAGAGCAAAATCCTGTTTCCTAAGCAGCAGTCAGTGAGTGAGTGTTCCATCCAGGAAAAAGCTGGACTCTTGCAGTCTTTTTGGTACCAACCACCAAGAACAGATTTTACTCGTACTTGCCTGCCAAAAATCTTCCTTGATGGGAAAATGATTTGATTACCTGATAAATTACAAAATGATACACAATTAGCTTTTCCCCCACTGCATTACAGAGACGCACGTAAGTAAAAGCAACTTGAATCATGTCTGAGGTTGGAAATGGTCGATGATTGAAGTGTCCTTGTTTTTATCCATTGATGTTGTCAGACCATCGTGGATGAACAGCTCGTGCTGAAGAGAGTAGCAGATGTGCTGATCAACGTCTACGCCATGACAGCTGTCCTGTCCAGAGCCAGCCGCTCCATCTGCATCGGCCTCAGGAATCACGACCACGAGGTGAGAAGAGAGCACAATCTGCCTGGAAGCTTTACCATTATAGGCCCGGCTACAAGACAGCATGTCGGGTTAACATTGCTGCAAAGAGTAGAGGCACTGCGTCCATGGTTACACCGACAAAGGCTGTAGGTCTCCCTCCTATTACACCTGGAATTAATGTTCATCTTGAATCCATTTCTCTAGTTTTCATAGTGAGAGCAGTTTCCCATTGTCCTCACCAGATTGGTACTCACATTAGTTCCTCCACATCCACGCCATGTCAAACTGACCCTTACTCATCCCTCACGAAATGTTATTTGAATTGACCCTTCCTATGTCCCGCCCCTTTTTACTCTGTGCTCCAATAATAGCTGAGCAAGCCTCGGTGGGAACCTCAGTCAGCTTTCTGTTTTCCTGTACTGAGATATGCTCTGTGCTGGACTCGTCCATGTTGGAAAGACAACCACATGTTGAAGATGGTTAAAAGATAAACGCCACATATGTATAGTCACGTCTTAAAGGCCCTACAAGGATTTTTAATTTGTGTTCATTCTGGTGGCCCCTGTGGACAAGCTGTTTTGTTTCCACCTAGTTTAACTGATTTTAGGGGAATCCAACTGAATCCGACTGAATCCGACCATCCTATGGCAGGCAGTAATAACAAGCACATATAAATAGACAGTCTTCTCAGTCTGGTCTCTATTAAACTGATTGCTATATAAGCAGTTCAAAACTCCTTGTCGTAGGTAGCCAATGTTAGCGAAACACCAGCTAACTAACGATTTATGTAAATTAGCTAGCTAGCTTGCTAGCATTTTGCTAACATTAGCTATCAGATGTAACTAGCTGGCTAATCTACGTCAATCAGTGTGCTAGCTAGTTACATCTGATAGCTAATGTTAGCAAAATGCTAGCTAGGTAGCTACCTGGTGTTTTGCTAACTTTAGGTGTGTGTGTGTCACTTTGATCTTTTAACCATCTTCAAAATATGGTGCTTGTCCTGTTTCCTGGTTGGGTTGTTGACATTTTCGTTAAAGAAGCACATACTCTAAATGTAGTTTGAACATGCATTGTAGTCATTCTTTGCTGTGGCAACACATAACTTGTTTTATTTTATTAAGCTGTAATTATCCAGAAAGCAGGTCACGTCTAAATTAAGATCAGTAAATGTATCAAGCCTAATAAAAGACACATTGTTATTTAATTAGAAGAGACTGTTTTCACTTACTGCAGCAAGTTGTAGTCTACTGAAAGCAATTAAAGCAACAGCATGTCACAACATATTGTCACCCTAATTTTGTATGCCTTTTTTTCCCCTTGCAAACATGTTATCTGCATGTGCTCTGACTTATTGTTAACTCAGATCAGTGGTTACTGAGATGTAGTATGGATATTATTTTCACTTCAGTATGTTGGAGGTGTAGAGGCTGCTCCAGCTTGATGGGGCAAACCTGAAGAGCGCAGCTTAAGGTGGAGGACACAGGATGGCAGAGAGTAAACACTGACTGTAGGACGGTCCTGTGTGTAATCAGACACAGTGATGTAGAGCAACAAATCGTCAACAGAGAGACATTAAAGAAGGCAGGGAATGCTTTGTATTATCCGGTTTCGCAACACTCTTCTGTGTTACAGATGGGCGGCTCTGAGCTCCTCCCACACTGTTCCTCTCTGTAGCTACAGGCAGAAATGTTTGTTTTATATAAAACAAACAGACTGTACAGATCAGGGCCTACCAGCAGGATTCAACTATGTCAAATGTAGGGAGGAGGAGTCCTGGTCCAGTATGCAACTTGTACAGTGTGATGCAGAAACTTGAAGCCACCAGTGCACATCCACTGAGAATGGACTTTACAGTGAAGGAGGAGACATCTTGTGTCCAACAGGGAAACTTTAGAAAAGAACAACATTTGCATATTCAGAGATTCTGGAATTTTAATGAGGTAGAAGGAGGAGATTGATTTTTAAGGATTCAAAATGATACTTTTTAACATATCAGACTAACATTGTTCCAGGCAGACTATTTGTATGTGTGTCTTAACACATGTCTGGAGGCGATCTTTAAGCTTTCATTCAGCTTGGTTCCATTATGGTTGTAAAGGTCTGTTTGTGTTCATGCTTGGTTCCTTACCTGTTCATTTTTACTTATATTTTACATAAATATGTCAGATTAGAACTTTTTACACATCACGTAAATAGCATGGGCATGTGTTTCCACAAGAAGATGAAAATTGGACCAACAAATGTTTGCAATTACCTCCCTTCACATCTGATTACATTCTGACATGTTGTGCGTTTAACCGCCTCCTCAGTCACATCTAGTTTTTATTTTTGTGTTGTCCAGTTGGATTCACATTTGCAGGTTTTGATGAATGTGTGTTGTTTTGTAGGTGCTGCTCGCTAACACATTCTGCAGCGAAGCCTTCTTCAAGAACAACTACTTGATGACTCAGTTGCAAAAACGTAAGTACAACACAAAAACGGTAATTGAGAACAGCCCCTTGCCTTTTTTTTTTTTTTTTCCTCACCGCATCTCAAGTACAAAAGACTTGCATGTGTTGCGGAATTTCCCCACCAAACCCCACATACCAACACTCAAACCCCCCCCTGCTGTTTTTCATTTTCACACTGTGCGCGTTTTTTTAATGGCCTGTATGTAATCCGGAGTTATCCAGTGACATGATCCAGACAGACGAGAATGTTGTGTTTTGTGTTTTAACGAATGAAAGCGGCTTGTTTTGTGATTCCCATCTCAATCCGTTCCAGACTCTCCTGAGAACAACGATGCCAACATCAAGAAGATCGCCCAGGCGGTCCTGGAGAACAGAGCCTACGTCTGCTCACACCCTCTTGAAAGAACATTCTGACCTCTCCCATAATACTGTCTACAGTATTCTGATTGGACAATACGGACAACTCTGTCTCAATGATTTGTTCTTACTCTTTCGTTGGTACTTACATTGCTTGACATTATTTGTACACTTGATCAATAAATTAAGAGATTTATGATTTTAGCTACTGTATTTTATTAACCATGGCTTTAAAGATAACGCCTGAGATCTTTGGATAATGATCGCTCTCCTATTATGACGATATGAAGTTATATTTAGTGCTATAATTAATTATTGCCCAAGATACATCCTTTAATGCTCATGAGCTTGTTTGGTATATAAGGACAGGTTTGTGTGGGTTCTGGCCTATTAATATTAATAATATTCCTGAAAGGCTGGACAGCTGAGGTATGTGCCTTCATGTCTTGTACTTCTGAAAGGTGAAGATACTCCTCTCCTCGTCCGTCAGAGGCAGGGCAGTCCGCTTGTACAGGAATGAATGCTGCTTACTGAATCCCCTGTAAGGAGCAGCAGAACAGAACCCATGAACACAAAAACCTTTTCTCTAGTATCTGTGGAGTTTTTCTTGTTTGTAAATAAAATTTGGAACTTCTACTGACATGTAGTGGTACTTGTTGTACAGCGAGATGTGTCTGGCGATGGCGTTGTTTTTGCTGCTGAGGCTGCAGTCCATACAGGGACCTGGAGCCAGAGCCACACTCTTCTTTTCCCCTGCTTTGTCATCACCCGAGTTCAACACAGACAGTTTAGGCAAAGGCTGCGACACAAAAATACAGCTGTTAGCTCACAAACTGAAGTTTATTACAGTCAACTGCAACCAGGACCCAGACAAACTGAAAAAAAGACTGTTAAACTGTGAACTGAAGCAAGCATTGTGAAAAACAGACATTAAAAAGGACCAGAGGGATTGTGGCATCTAGTGTAATTGCAGATCACAGCTGCCTCCCTTCCCTTCCGAGCATGGTGGAGAAACTACGGGGGCCACGAAACAGGCAAAAATGCAAACTCCCCTATCTATAGTCAGTGTTTGTCTGTTCTGGGCTACTGTAGAAACATGGTGGACCCCAAGGAAGGCCACTGAAGATAAAAACGTTTTTTAAAAATAGGTAAAGAAAACAACTATTCTTATTTTCAGGTAGTTACACACTTATAAAAACATACTTATATTATTCTATGCCATTTCTGACAATAGATCTTCCTATACGTTACACACCGGACCTTTAAAGCACCTATAATTGATAGTTTTATAACACCAATGTATCAAATGGCAATGTGAAAGGGGGCGCCTGTAGTGATGAAGCTCCATAATGCATTTCAGCTCATTGTTTAGCTGTCTGGCCACAACTTAAATGTTTTGTTTCACCCTCACCACACTTGTGTCTTTTTAGGCTGCAGCAGGCAGCTGTTTTCAGGGAGTAACAAACCCCACTGTACTCTACCTGCTCAGCACCAACAGTACAGACACAGCAGGAGACTCACTGGTGAACACTGTAGCATTTAAAAACAGCTAAAAGAGACTCAAAATGAACGTGTAAATAAACAGTTGTTGCAATATCACTAGTTTCCCCTGCCTCCAAGTGGCCAAAAAACAGATTTCCTGATTTAAGAACTCTTTGAAATAGTTTTTTAAACAAATCAACATTTTTATAAATGGATTAGCCTGCTAGGGGCAAGTGTTTGCTGCTTTGGGCGCCTATCAAACCCTACCTTACACATACTGTGCAATGTCTTTTTTTTTTTTTTTTTTTTAACACCAGAATATAACTAGACCCCACATTTATGGTGTGTGAAAAATAAAACATTTAAGGTCTTAAGACTGGATTTTGGACCTTCTTCAAGATATCTCATGATTAAAGTTTGAATGTATATTTGCTTTTTATCCTAAACCTTTTTTTTTTCTTTTGAGGCAGAGCACCTATCTGAAATTCCCTGCAAGAGTGACGCCTTTGTTTCCTCTCATGGACTCATTAGCTCCTTCCAGGTTGCAGCTCCTCAAACTGCAGCGGGTTTTGAGAAAATATAAATTTGTGAAAATGTCTGCAATCCCTCTACAAACAAATTGAATAGAAGCAGGAAGCAAGAAACAGAGTTATGAGGTATGCCATAAAACTATCAAAAAACTGAATTCCACATGGCCACAAAGTGTATTACATTGGCTTTGAATTCATGAAAAAGACTGCAATGTGACAGCAGTGTAATGAGCCCACTGCTTTTGTATATGCTTCACACCAACGTTTCACTGAAATCGTGTTTTTTACTTTTGGAGTCCAACCAATTCCTGAATATGTCTTTGACGATGTTGGATAACCCACTGATTTCTAGATCAAGAGCATTTCAAAATAATCGTCACAGCATCACAAAGTGTGCAGCTGTCCAAATACTCCCGGACTTAGAGTTTGTGTGTTCATTATGTCATCCGCTCTGTCCAAAGCCGAGTCAAACGACGTACCTTCAGCATCATTCCCGGTTTCCTCAGTGAAAACTTCCTAGGTTTGTCTTTCAGTATATCCTCAATTATCTGTGAGTTTCCTCCCATGTGACACTTGAACTCTGGGAAGGGGCCGTTGACCGGTGGGTCGGCGCTGTCGCCAGGGAGCAGCTTCTTCAGCCAGCGACTGTACTGATCTCTGGCTGCCTCGAGCTGCTCCTGCTGCAGAAGGTCTCCTGAGGATCAACAGCACACTCAGTGGTTAGAAACTCAGTAGACTTGATGCTTTAGTGTTCTTATAACTGATCAACTAAACAGGCGAGAAGTTGTTACTGAACTGGATGGTTGGACAAACAACAGGACAGACATAAACGGATCATCTTTGCTCACTGCTGATTTAATTGAGGTTCCTCCCTGGCCAAATCTATTCTCCAGTGTGGCGTGGGAGCGTGTGTTACTCAGCAGCAAAAACTGATACTGGCTCAAATATCCGCCATCTGGAGCTTCAATCAAAACATATCAATATTGGCCTACACTACTGAGAAAAAGCGTACAGCCCAGACAGACAAAGACAACAATTTTGGATGCTCCTAGGCTTGTTAAATTTAGTGCATTGTTCAGTGTTAGTTACAGTTATCACACAGTCTTTCTTCCCACGATGAGTAGTGTTTTATCATTAGACAAAGCAAAATTGTAACAAGGTGCCATTGAAGCCCAACCAGTAGGATGAACAGTGCCAGTTTGTGCCAGATGGTCTTACTCACTACAGCATCTACATACTGAAAATGAACATGCACAGCTTGTACCGCGTGTTCCAACAGCATCAAAAGAATGGAGATTGCCAAATGCCTAACATGGCTTCGAGTGGCTAAATCCAAACTGTTGCATGCTGTTCATAGACAAATTTAAAGTTAAATGCTAATACTTAGCCTAGAAGACGGTGGTTTAATGCATTGCCTTTTTTACTTCAGTCAGTCAGCTAACTGGAAACAGATTATTATGGTAATGCAGAATATGTGCAGAGTTGATATTAGTCCTCAAATCCCTGTTACTCCCAATAAGGATAGCAGTACAGATTGAGGAGTGGCTAGGGATGCACTGATTGGGAAATTCTGGGCCAATACCAATGATTAAATTAACAATTTGGCCAATAGCTGATACAGATATTTTTGTTGTTGTTGTTTGTTGTTGTTTATTCGCTCTTTTGTGCCAGGGACACAAAGAAATCTACCAAGATAAGCACCCCTGCCTTGTTACAGCTCAGTCTATTTCTCTGGTGATTATTTCTCCGATATTCGGGTTGGAAATAACCAACACTAGAACAGCCTATTTCATTAGTGGCCTCCATCGCGTCACTTTTCCCTTCTAACAGCTAAAGAGAAACTACGGTGGCTGCGAAATGTGTGAAAAATGCAAACTCCCCTATCTAAAGCCACTGTTTGGTTTGTTCATCCTGGGCTACTGTAGACACATGGCAGCTCAACATGGCATCCGTCGATGTAAATGGCTCATTCCAAGGTAATGAACACAACAATTCCTATATTCAGGTGATTATACACTTGTGAAAACATACCTATGAATATTATATTCCATTTCTGACAATAGATCCTCATACAATGTAACAAGTTACATGTAACCAGATATACTTAAAACAACAAGGAACTTTCATTTTGTGTTGATTCTGGCGGCCTCTGTGTTCAAAAGCAGCAGTGTTTCTACCGGCTCGTTTCGTCTGATTTAGAGGGGAGTCTAACCAAACCCGACCTGGTGGCATACATCAGAATGACTATATAGAAATAGCCAATAGTTTGTTTATGTAGCTCATATACAGGCTGTCATGGGGATGCCCCGTGACCTGTTACTTAAATGAGACAATATGCTTGTCCACCACAGCCACTTATGTACCATCTAGCCAGCAGGTGTCTGGGGTTTGGTAATTAGTACAGATGTTGGGTTGAAACATGGTGATGGAAATTGTATTATGTTTGAGTTACATTAGATCTGGAAGGAAGCCTAAGGAAATATTTGGGTTTTAACTTCGTCCATTTGATTAATTTATGTTTCTCACCTCTCCTCTAGATTGCACTTGGCCATCTTCTGATTTGGACCCAGGAACTGGCAAACCAGTCCCTGCCCAGGTGGACTCCTTTTATGGTCAGGTTCCTGGGGGAATGTGCCAAGTGTAGTATAGATGAGGGGGAGATTTAGGAGGCGTTTGGGAGATTTGTTATTTTGAACAGTTGGGATCTATTTTACTCTTCTGATATGTGTAGTGAGTTCTTTCTACTGTTGACCTATAAAACTTAACTATTGGGTATTAGACAAATGAATGCTAAAGGTTAATTGTTTTTTATTAATTGTTGCTTCCTGTGGTAGGAGGAGCTACCGCACATATAAGCAGGAGTTGAGGGTTCTCCAGGGGAGACTACTTTTGAGGATGTTGGTGAGCAGGCCACACGGTTTGTTAGCTGCCAGGGGCCCAAGCTTAAAAGGTATATAGCCCTGAGCAGAGTTGAGGTTTTCTTTTTTGGCTTTATTAGATAGTGACAGCGAAGGTGGGTAGAGAAGGGGGATGGCACGCAGCAAAGGGCTGCAGGTCGGACTCAAACCCGGGCCGCTGCTGTAACTCTTTACATGGGTCGCCAGCTCTACCGACTGAGCTCACCGGGCACCTGAAGTTTTCTTTTTGATACCTCTAGTTACCTTTGTCCTAAATTGTTTTCATTTTTATTTAGTTTGTTGTTTTCTTCGGTTTGGGCCAAGCTGATCCTCACTGTAAATAAGCGGCACTGATCCACTGCTTGGAAAAAAGGGAAATAAAGAAATTTGGACTGACTGAACAGTTTCAAAGTAAATTAAATTGTAAACTGGTAAATTGTTTCGTAACCAGGTAAAAACTCTTGTATTACATTTAAAGCTCTAGTCAAAGCCATGGCTCACTTCCCACTCCATCCCCCCCATCACCTGCATCAGCTCCCCTGTTTCAAACACGTACTAATTCATCAATTTACTTTTGTACTCTGTACAAGCTCCCATACTGTTTATCAATACTTTGCTGATTTAAAGAAATTCACTGAATTAGGATTTTGTTAGCTGGAAGGATTACAGAACTCTTTTTACAATAGAAAAATAGTTCCATGACACAGTGACGTCTGAAAGGAAAATCAAGTACTGAAAATACATTAAAGATGTTGCGCTCTGTTGTGAATGTTTAAAACCATTTTGTGAGTGCTGTGTTGTGGGTTTTGTTAACTGGCTCCATTTGTTGCTGTTTAGTTCTTTCTGACAACCTGCTGGCTTGCTGGGATACATCATCCACTTGATGGTTAAGTATCTCAAGATTAAGACTTGAGCATAAAAAAGAATGTGAGTGAATGGGTCACTCACCTCTTCAGATTCTGTAATGTAATAACTTTATTTAAGTGTAATACTTTTGACTTTTCAGCAATGTTGGGTGCAGTGATGGAAAAAACAACACCCTGTGGCTATATGACATTATGGTGCATTAAGGCAGATGTTGGTGGACACATTTCTATCTGCCCTATGATGAATTTCTCCTGAACTTCAGTATAAAATGGTGAGTCTACAAAGAACCCCTCTCTTTGATTCTGACACCGAATGCTGACATTTACAGCTAGTGTCTTAGATGGCTACGAGGAAAATATCTCAGCCTGACACCTGGTTGTTAACATTTGGCTCGCTACTCACAGGAAAAGAGAAACACACCATCATACAACGAAATGGGACTGTATGAAAGGTGTTTTTAGCAGTTAAAAGTGTTTTATGGTACATTGATGGAGCACAGCCTACCAGCCAGGTGAATGGTGACAGTAGGTGGGCTGAAGAAAGGCCGAGGCTTGTTATAGAGCTGAAAGTCCTCCTGGCACTGGCTCGAGGCCCATATGTCCCGTGAAAGTGTGGGCTTCAATATGTTGGCATGTAGGATGTTCTCTCTCCATGGCTGGAAGCACAGTGAACAGTATCAACTAGCTAGCTTGGAAGCAGGCAGCAAGGTTAATATTATTAGTCATACTCTATTGGGTCATAGAGAGAAAGGAAAACGTAAGCAAACAGCCATAAAAAAAGATATCCCTGTGCTGAGATTCATGGGAATGCCAATAAACTGAGCGTTCTGAGTGAACTGTGAAACCCCACACTGCTGGAAGATCACCTTCCTCAGCTCCTCCACCCGAGCCTCATCTGGGTGTTTGGGGTGCACTTTGGGCTTGTCACCGCTCATGCTTGTGAACCAAGCGGTAGAGGCAGCAGCGGAGCGGGGGTCATTTTTAGGAGTCACGTCCCCTGGCTCCACTGTAGCACTGTGATACTGCTGACTGTAGGTGAACCTCCGGCCCCGCACCTGAAGTTATTACCAGAGAAAGCGAAATACATTTAAGTTCATCTGCACACTTCAAAAAATGCCACATAACTTATTAATCAGGGAAGTAGCCATGGATAAACCCGTCGTTTGGTCTTGGTTCAGCCTTCTTTTTGGAGCTGACATAAATTGTGATACATATAAATATATACCTCAAATTCATAGTTGGTCTTAAAGGTCCAGTGTGTAACATTTAGGAGGATCTATTGTCAGAAATGGAATATAATATTCATAGGTATGTTTTTATTAGTGTATAATCCTGAAAAAAATCACCTGCATAACGAAAGGACTACTACATCCACTAATCAACACCTGTGTTCAAAAACTGACAGAAAATGTAAAGTCAAAATAATGAAGTGATTGTCTACTTAAAGGACCAGAGTGTAAGATTTAATGGCATCTAGCAGTGAGATTGCATATTGCAACTAGCTCACCTGAACCCTCCCCTTTAAGTGAGTAGCAGAAGCTACACAGGCTGAGAAATTCACAAACACAAAAGGCCCTATTTACAGCAGTGGAAAACAACAATGCCCCTATCTAGAGTCAGTGTTAGGTTTGTCCCTGGGCTACTGTAGAAACATGGTGGTTGAACATGGTGGACTCTGTGGAAGGTGACCCCCGACATCTGTAGATAAAAACAGTTCATTCTAAGGTAACAAAAACGCAACGATTCTTATATTCAGGTGATTATACACTAATGAAGACATACCTATGAATGTTATATTCCATTTCTGCCAATAGATCCTCCTCAATGTTACACATTAAGGTGACAGTGCTGTTCTCCGAGCCAACAAGCTATACTGATATATTATTTTCTATAAATTCATCAAACCTGGGCCATCTTTTTGCGGAGCAGCTCCTTGGCTTGCTCATTTGAGTTGAAGGTCTGGATGCTGTAGTTGTGTGCTGGCCTGGTTGTAGACTGTTCCACCCTTAACACAGCAGCCTCTGGCTTCTGTAACCGCTCACTTTCCTCTTGCACCTTTTTGATATTATCCTGGAAAATATTCCTAACATATGAGTGGCTCCGTGTATTAGTCAGATTCTACTCAGAACAATTTAAGCCGACTGACCTGAATGTAGTCCTTGCACTGTCTGAGCGCCAGCTGCTGGCTGCTGCCTTTCCATTTTGTGTACTCTCTGTTGAGTGTGTTGAGTGCTTCGTGTCTTTTCATCCGGACGGGCAGAGTGGGCATCATGTGCACCTGAGTGTCTGCACTGGCTTTTTGCTCCCACTGCTCAGCATATGTGCCATATTCCTTGCTCATGCTGAGGATCATGTCAGCTGAGGGGAAGAGGTTGTACTGCACCGCATCTTTGAGTTGCCTTACTTGACAAAGCTGGCTTAACCTAGGCAAAACACAAGTACTTTCCATTTATTACACATTTAATCCAAAAATATACGTTCTTCAGTCAACTACCAGTAGATTCATGCAAGAGCTTAAAGGATCATACCAGTGTTTTTAAAGTTTTAGCTGCTCCACTACAAATCATGCAAACTGTAGATACATGATCTGTACTTAAGTTTGGTTTATTTTACACTAAATAATCTTGATCCAAGTTGTACTGACTGGCTGCATTATAATAACTGAGAAAAACGAAGAACATTAGTTGCCGTTCAAAGCTCTGGCAAGAAAACTAGTAAGTAGACCTTGAATCAATAGTTTGCAAAACTATTATTGCCAAGGTCAGGAGTAAAGAGGGTATACTTCTGTGTATGTTTAACATTCATGTCGACCATTTGGCATTGACATTCATTCTTGCATTGGGCACAGTATGTGTGACTGAATAATCTCACCTAAAAGGTTTGACCTGAGATGATTCGGTTGCGCGCCTCCAAATAGGAGAGTAAATATTGCACTTAACTTCCTCGTCTAATGTCGCTCTCTCTCTTTTGTGTAAAGAGCTAATGCTTTGCTAACACATGTAACAATTTCTACAGGGATAATATTTACAGCTTGTTCCACTTCCCCCTAGTGGCCAAACACTATCAATAAATGCTTCTAAACATTACAGCATGGTTTGCTGTGATGTAACAGTGGTTCCCAACCTTTTTCCTGAAGGGACCCCTTTTCTATCACTGAGTAAACGGACTAAATGTTGTACAGAACAACTAATAAACTGTACAATGGAACCACTGGTGTAAAGCATGTGGGGTTTGTTGTAAATTGAGTCAAATCACAGGTATGGTCCTTGACATTGTATATGGCCACTGTAATCTCACTATTTGGGTACCTTGACAAAGCCTGAAAGCAGGGTTGGGGGACCATGCCTCTAATGTAGACCAGAGGCTGTCTCATGATGGTCTCTAGTGACTCATATATACGGATAGGAGTCAGGCCCACATCTAATGAGTCATAGATGCGCTTGAAGAAACCCAGGTTTGAGTTGTAGAGGACTATCACCTGCTCCTCCTCACTCCCACTTAGCCTGCAAGACATCACACAGACTGCAGGATTCTCACTGGAATTTAAACACTCTTTATCCAAGTGGACAGCACAGCTGAAAACTGTTAGCATCATGGGCTGTTAGGGCAAGATAGTGTTTGTGGGCTTACTTCATAGGAACAGCCTCCCAAAGCCTCCTCACTGCTTTATGTTTCAGCCCTTCAAGAACAAAGATGTGCATCCTCTTATCTAGCACGTGGAATCCCGTAACAAAATCCAGATCCTCGCTCTCGTCGTGCTTGAAATTCATTATGTAATTTGATAGGGCTTTCTCTACATTTTCCAGGGAACGTGACCCCAGATGGAAAGCGGATGCATTTATTCTGAGGATCTCTGACCTCAGCTCAGTCATCGCAGAGAAGTTGTTGTAATCAAAGAGGTAGACGATACGCCCAAATGGACCATCACAGGACTCACTGCTGCCGTTCTTAACGCTGAGTGGACAAGCTATCTCAACCTTGACTTTGAGTTGAGAATTGGCGTCAAAATAATGACCTTGTGGCATGGGCTCTCTGCTAGCTGCTGTGTCTGTCATCCTGTTGCCCCTTGCACTTCGCTCCCTGTCCAGCAGCGGAGGTAGAGGGCAGCATCTGATTGGTAAGTGCACCTTTAGGTTTTTCTTCCCAAGTAGCAGCTCAGATAGGTTCAGGCTTGCAATACCGTAGGAGTTAATGATTGCTGTCTTCTGTTTTAATAGTACTGCACCACACAGAATGTCATCATCTGAGTTTGTGCAAGACACTGCTGGAGTTTTTGGCGTTTCTTCCAACTTTCTGTCACGATCATGCACCTCTATCTCCAGAGGAGGGCCGGAGAAGAACTCTCTGAGCTCTTCAGGACTCATAAGGCCAGTCAGGATCACATTCACATCTCGGAAGTAGATGTTGGTGCCATGCTTGTGATAGTTTGTTCTGTGCATGCTCAAGTTGTGGAACTTGTACTGGCAATAGACGGGCGCACATTTGTCCTGGGAAAACAAAAAATTTAAACTATGTCACATCATAGCTCACTGCTAAATGTCAATGCTTGCAAACGGAATTTTTCATACTCATAAAACCTAAATAGTGAATGAGGAGGGAGTGTATTCAACACATGTACAGCACAAGCCATATCTTAATTATGACATTGTTAATGAACATGTAAGTCATACCTGCAGGATGATGAAAGGGACCGGGGATGAAGGCATTGAGGTGGCTGACAAGATTGTGATGACCATTGGATTGAGTTCGGCCCTAAGTTGTTCAGATATTAGTGGTCTGTCTAGAGAGATGTTGCATATGACCTCAAATACACCAGATGAACAGACTGGGAAACGTTCAGTCAATGAGGTCTCACCTGGCAGTCAGAAAATAACAGACTTGAAAATGTTCAATCTTTAATGATTAACATTACATTTTAAATCTTTTTATCCTTGCTATGAGGGTCTAGGGCTGGCAGTATGGCCCCTTTGGTCCAGAAAACTGGCTAGAATTTGGCAGAGATATTCAAAGCCCCCTAAATTTCCTCTAATGCCATTTACATTGGGATTATTATAAAATTTAGCACAATCATTTTCCTCACAGTATGAATTGTAATAACTTTGGGTATCCTCTGACTTTTCATCTAGCACCATCATCAGGTCAAATTTTCAGTTTGTCCAATACTTTGTTTCAGGACCCAATACCAGCAAAACTAATGACATTCCCATCGGTCTCTGCTGCATCTCTAAACTAAGATGATGAACATGAACATTTAGTGCAAAGAACCACTGTGTCTAAATACAGCCTAACTGTAGACTCTTTGTCTTGTTCCCATATACAGTGGTTCCCAACCTTTTTCCTTAAGGGACAATCATTTAGTAAACTGAATAAGTGACATATTTTATGCATATTTCATATTATATTCAAAACTCCACAATGAGCCCAAACAGTGAACTAAGTAACGGCAAGAAGTTTGTGTGAAAAGAGTGATTTGAAAGACTTTTCAGCAGATTATTTCCTGTTTAGGGAACTTTTTATCCAATTCTATGTCTGTAACATGTATTTTTATAATCTTTAGCAATCATACAGATCTTTTTAGACAAATTCAGTGTGTTCTTGTCCCTGGTGCTTGTCCATTAGACAATTCACATTACGTTTACTTTTCTTTACATAACTGAACCAAATACTGAGATATAGACCTACTGTGTATATTTTATCTGTGACCCCCAACGTAGCTTTTGCAACCCCTAATGTGGGTCCTGACCCCCAGTAATGCCTAAAAAAAAGTTTGTGTAATTTTGTGTGTACAGTAATTGGTTCACATTTATATATTTTTTATAAATAATTCCATTACATTTTCTAGTGTATTGCTTTAAAGGGTGCCAAGCCAAAGAGGTTGGGAAACACTGTCTTAGAGGCTATTTGTGTGAATTAAAGGTTGACTCACCTGCTAACAAATAAATGGGACTGATTTCAGCTGAGGCAGTGCCATTCTTTTTGATCTCTTCAAGTTCGAAAGCATCGATTGTGGGTTTTTGAAATCCTGTTTTGATGAGAGGCAAGTTATTGTCCATTAAAAGTGTTATGAAAATATGTATCTATCAGAGGTATATTCACATGGGCAAAGATATGGAGAAAGATAGAAAGAAGCTTTGGGTTGGAAGCTTGAAGGTAGTTGATTGTTGAGTCTCATTCCCAGAGGTCCCAGAGCGTCTATATTTGACGCCCTGGGAATGAGCCTCAACAATCAGCTATCTTTCTCAGCTCTGATTGGTTGTTTTCGTCCAGGCCCGGTGGATGGAGCACTAGGAGGAGCCAGAGGAGCCTGATTATCTGTCTCATGTACTACTGTCAGGATATAGTGAAAGTTTCAGCAAATATGACAAAAAAAAAATAAATAATTATAAACATTATCTACTGCAGCTTAGTGTAAGGCAAAACATTTTGATTTACCTGTTTTGGGGTGCACCTCTGAGTTAGAATCAAACAAGATATCACTTTTGTGCTTTTTGGATGTGTTTGACTTCCTCTCACACAAGGTTCTCAGTTTGTTTACCATAGTCTTGATGCCACCTTAGAGTGAAGATTTGTATTAAATAATTTTAAATAAAAACACAGCATACAATAATACAATACAATAAGTATAATGTTTGGACATTTTGTGATGCTCACCACACATGTGGGTTGCATCTTCAAGCTCAGCCTGAGGCAGTCTTAAGGCTTTCAGTCTTTCGTAGCGGGCCTGGCTGGACAGTTTCTCCTTACTGTTCCATATCTGGAGCTTGATCTTATGAGGGAGTAGACCGATCAACATGTCCCTGTTGACTCTGACGTTGAAATCCTGGGTCCAACCAACCCATGTCTGATCTCCTTCATGCCATGTTCTTAGAATCTGTCATAAAATTCACATTTTACTTAACAGAAGGAAGTGTTTGTTAGCAGAAATCATCATTCCTATCAGGACAATAACAACCCCCATGTGCAGTGATGGGTCATTTACTGTAACTGGAGACAATGTAGCTGCTTTATTGTTGTTCATTCAGGATGTTCATGAATTGTTCATTAAGGGGACACACACACATAGACATGCACACACATGCACCAGGTCATGGTTACCTTGAACTCATCTTCTTTGTACATTTTTGCTACTGGCCCAAACACTACTAGGTCCAATTTGACTGTCTCTGTATCACCTGGCAACTTGTATTCAATATGATAGCTGCTCTGAGCTTTATGGGCTTTCACCAAAACAGTAGATGAATCCTTATTTGTGTTCTTAGCCTTTCCAGGAGCTTCAGGGACATCAATTTCTTCTCCTAAAAACGAACAAATGTTTATGAATGACATCAAGGATGAAATGAACCTGTATTTGTATTTGTAGTACATTTCAGTACACTAATATTCCCTCACTTACTCATCCTCCTGACTGTCAGTTTGAGTGCTTTTCAGTGTCCCTGTGGATCTCACTGTATGACAAACTTACCTCCTGGGACAGCTAGAGCAATGTAAACTGTCCATGTGACGTAATAGGAGCTGTCATCTGTGTGTGTAACATCCTCGCTTGAACCTGACCTATTTTCCACACCAAGCTCCAAGGACGACAAATGGGTCTCATGGACATCTTCCTGTCTTTTGTCTGCAACTTCCACATCAACGTCTGACTGCTGCAAATTGCAAAGACCCGTCTCAGACATTTTCTCCATGGGGTCTGAGTCCACTGGATTATTTTCACTGAAGAACACTGTAGGAAAAGGGTAAATGAAAAAGACAGCAGGGGGATATATGTGCTAACATTTCATATGTAGTCGGTAAAAGTAAGAGCTAATAGTCAGGAGATAGTTGATCACAATTCTCACTTTCCGGAAATCCGATCATTTATCTCACTTTGAGACATGTGACAATGATCTTATATTATCCTTATGAGGTGTTATTAATGTTGGGTTTGGTCTACAGTGGGTGGGCTGGAATATTTTCTGACATTTCAAGAGATTCTTATTTAGCACTGAGGCAGGAATGCGTTTACCCTACAATGCGGTAAATTAACTAATAAATTAAAAGATTATACAGTATATTAAATGGTTTTAAAAGCGGGGCTAAAAAACTTACATTTTACAAATAAAACACCTGAATTGTACCCCAGTATATTAATATTGCATGAATTTATTCATTAATTAGTCACCAAAATAAATCTATTAAAATACCCTCATTACACCACACATAATCAATAAGTTAAATAAGTTAATAATAAATAAGTTTAAAAGAGTTCAAAATTATACTTTGACAGCAGTTTTTATATTATATAAATACAACATAATTTAATAACGTTATATAATTTATATCTGGCTAGCTCTGACGTTAGCTTTGTGGTGTTTTCCATCAACAAAATAAGTTAGCTCATTCTGGTAATGTAACGTTAGTAAAAACAAAAAAGAGAAAACGGTACAATATCTCTGACAACTTTGTGATTTAGTATTAATATTAATAGTTTTTTCTCACCTCAGCTCCTGTTGTTCGGGATGTGAAGAGTCTGAAGTGTCCCGTTTAAGATAACAGTGTTTAAAGTCCTCTTTTAAGAGTGCAGCATATAGCGTTATAGTGTCAGTCTACAGTTTATTAACACTTTACCTGGACTACAAGTTCCAAAGCTGCCAACTCATTTAACTTAGTAAAATAATGTCTTGTGCCGTAGTAAAGTGCTGAGGCGGGTCCGGCTGTCACACAAACTTCAACCTGGCTCTATGATTTCTATGAGTGCAACGCGTCGCCATGACAACCGCTGTAGTCAAGGAAGTGAAGCGCAGCTGCCCTCACGTGCGGTTGGGACTATCGGAATTCATATCAAGAAAATGATTTGTTTTATTTTTGTTCAATTCAAGAAGATTTATTTGCCCGAACAAATACATGTATGGACTGAAAAGGGTATATTTTTATTTCTTAACTTGCAGTACAGTACTTTAATCTATATTTACATTTTATGACTGTTTTATGAGTGCACCAAGGCAAATTCCTTGTAGGCTATGTGATAACCTGGCAACAGTGTTGGACAGTAGCCTAACTCATTACTTTTAATAGTACTGCAGTAATAATATTGCTTTCCTCAGTAACTAGTAGTGTCATTACTTTTATCCAACAATCCAATCACATCCTTGGATTTATTTTTGTAATCGTGGAAGAAACTAGTTTGGAAGATGGAAACATTCAGCAGCTGGAAATATTCCATTACTTTGACTTTAACAAGCAACACAGGATTTTATTCTACATAAATCTGAATTTTGGGAGAGAGGACACAATTTACAATTGTGCGGGGAGTAGCAGACAAGTAGCTAATATAACTAATTAGGCTACTGTAGGCAAAAAGTAAAGTAATAATATTACTTTTAAAAACATATGTGTGTAATGAGTAATCAATTAAATGTTTTGAGTAACTAGCCCAACACTTCTTGGCAATAATCAGGTTTATTCATTCTAAAAGCAGACACACCTAGTTAGTAACAAAATGTTATAAGGAGTTCAGTCTAGACCTGCTCTATTTGAAAAGTGTCCTGAGATAACTTTTGTTATGAATTGGCACTATACAAATAAAACTGAATTGAAAAATTGAATTAAAGGTATTAAGCCTTGACAAGAAAGCACACGTTTACACAATTTGCAGTTAAGGTATAGACTACTCTAAAATAATAGAAGCTTTGAATTTAATTTATTTAGATATATAGGCATAGGCAATGTAATGAGGAGGAAACCCAGCATTTGGGATATATTCATGGATGGATCTAGGGGTGGCTTGCCAGTGGCCACCCCAGTTGGCTGTCACATTTAACACATTCATTTAGATTAATTAAAACAACTGTTTAAAAATAGAATTTAATGATCTTTTATGGCCACATTTTAGACTTAGTGATTCACTCAGTCATTTAAAAAAAGGGCATGTATTTGGAAAAATGTCTGAAGATTTGGAAATAAAACAATGGATTACTAATGCCACCTTTAGATATTTCTCCTTTTTTTTTACTAACGTGCAGCTGCACTCTAAAAAAGTAATTCAGTGGACCAATTGTCACCGCTTAAAAAAAATGATGGTTGCAAAATAAAAAGTCTAATTAATTGATTGAAATAAACCTTTGAAGTTACAAGCATTGTTTTAATAAGTTGCAATGACATAAACAATGTGGAAAGACTATTTTTTTTTTTTTTTCATTTTGTAGCTTGATCAACTTAAAAACTTGTGTTTATGCTACCAGTTATTAAGTAAGTAGTAATTATATAGGCTATACCTTTGATTGTGGAGGAAAAGTTCTTTCCCCTAACTCAACTTTGTTCAAGATAATTTCATTACAAGTTGTCATAACTCAATATTAATGCAAACTGTTGTGTTAATTGTTTTTGTTGAGCTAAAACGTTTGTTTTTAGAGTGTACAGATGAGAAACCCTTGATGGCATACAAACCAGCTCCTGCAGGCTACATCAGGGGCAAAGCAAGGTGCAAATTGTGCAAAACGCATTAATATATAAGCTTGTGTTTTACCCCTGCATAAAAAAAAACCTGCAGTAAAAATTCTTCTGTTGAAAAAAGACAGTATACCTCTGCTCCACAGCTTATGAGTCCCTTGGGCATCTTACATCTTAACAAGGTCTTACCCAAGTGAATGACAAAAGTTTACACACCTGGTGGCAATTATAGTCAGGCAGTGAGACCGTTACAGTGTGTGTATGTTACTGACTCCACTGCTGGTTGGGACCCCTGCTTTTGGATTTGGGGGGCAGTGCTAAAATTCAAATCTGTCTTTAACACACGCCTCGTTTCAGCTCCTCCAGTGTGCTCTGCTGAGAGGATGAACACGAACACACACACACAGGGCGATGTTAGAGGAGTTATTGTAAAGGATCTGCTCAGTGTGAGGGAATATGATGTTGCTGAGTACAAATGATGGATGATCCATACAGCCGACCAGCGCGCAGGACGCAATGGATAGTCAGCACTCTGGCTTACCATTACGGACTGGACCGGGGGGTGGAAAACGAAATTATAGTTTTGGCAACCGGGTTGGATCAATACCTACAGGAGATTTTCCATCATATGGACTATCAAGGCGGAGGCAAAATCCCCGTGGAGGACTTTAACATCTTGTGTGAAGTTTTGGGACTGAACAAAGACTCGGAGGACGCAGAATGCGCCGGCGTTTTAGACCATTTACCCAGCGAGCTCACTTTCAGGCACTTCCACGCCAAACTGTGCGGGTACTTCAGCACCAAGGCGGGGTGTCAGTACGAGAACGGCCGGCTGCTGGTCGGGAAGGACAGCGAGCACATAGAGACTCAGATCCGCCTGAGGAGCCCTCTGAGGCGGCGAGAGAAGCTGCTGTCTGTGGGTGGGAGCAACGGCTCCTGTGCCTCCTCGGAGGGGCGACACGCCTCCGGCTGCAGGCTCGGGTCCTGCACCAAGGAGTGCTACGAGGAGATAGTGGCGCTGGAGGAAGCCGAGGACCGAATATCAAAACTGGAGGACGAGAATGCAAGTTTGAGGGAGCTGATCGAGGACATGCGAGCCGCTCTGCAGAGCAGTGATGCCCGCTGCCTGGCTCTGCAGGTGAGAGCGCCTGCAATGCTGGTGTCGCATACGAGTACTATATTCTGATAGAAGAGGGCTAAATATGATGCTTAGTATAGAATGTTATAGTAATATCTGTCAGTCGGCCAACAATAGGCGCAAACAGCCCGGCTCATAACCCCCCCCCTTCTCATCAGCCTTGTCTGAAGGGACTCCTCTTGCAAATGGACCCCAAGACAACTTCTGCACTCACAAGTTAACAATGGTTTATAACTGATCTATAAAGCACAGTGAATCATTTATTACCATTAATAAAGCCATTGGTTAGTACAATAAACTCTATACTCTCTCTCAATAAAGTCTTCTGCAATCCTGAATGTTCATGAATCATTAATAAAAGGTTCTTATGATAGTCCAGCAAGTCTGCTGTTGTAAATAAGTTGTTACTACATGTATTTAGGACTGCACGATTTGGGAAAAACATCATATTGCATCATATAGTTTTTTGGGGTGCCAAACAAACATGTTTTTTTAAATCTTGAGAACAAGATTTGTAGACCAGGGCATCTCTGCAGCACTACAGTATTTCATTATAATGCTGTTCGGTCACATCTTCTGTGATTTGCATATTGCACTTGGCCGTATTGCAGTTTGGATAATATTTTGATTAACTGTGCAGCCCTACATGTATTTCGGTTCCCTGTCCCCCTTTAAAGAAGGCAAGTGGTCAAACAGTGCACTGGATGGGTGTTGAACTAAAGAGCTGAGTGAAAAGATAAAGCTGCTGTCATCCTAGAGGAAGGGAAACACCAGCTGCAGGGGTTTTCCACAACCTGGCAACCAATGTCTTATAACTGTTCTATTCAGCATAGGTAAATTAATTACTAATCATTAATACAAGCATCAGACAATGTGTAAACCCTTTATGAAAGGTAATATATTTTGATGGTTTGTTAGCCACTGAAAAACTCATTATCCTTTATTAATGTCTAGCTAACATTCATAATCGCAGACTCCATGGTTTATTAAAAAGTGAGACGCTACATTTTTTTCATTAAATTATTTTGTTAATGACTCTATTATTAATGACTAACAAGGAAGAGAGATTTTCCACAACCCAAATGTAATTCTTATTAATGGCTTATAACTGATCAGTAATGCATCAATTAATGATTTATAAAGGCCTAGTAAAGCATGCCTTATCAGAAAGTGGTACAGAAACCTTTATTGATGATTGATGAACTGCAGTAATAAAGGTATTAAAAAATGAGAAACCCAATCCTTGAATAATGACACTGACTTGATAGCTAATTAAAAGACTATAAGCCATAAGATACAGCTTAGATACCAGAATTGTCCCTGCTTAGTCACATTTACTAGAATGTGACTAAGCAGGGAGCAATACTGGTTTTAATGAATATCTTGATCTGGTCCCCTCCATTCACCCGTTGTACTTCTGTTCAGGTAGGACTATGGAAAAGCCACTCCAAACATAAACCAGAGGAAGGCTGCTTTGTTGCTCACCAGAAACGGGCTGCCCAGAAAAGTACGAGCAACACCAACCTGAAAAGCAGCACCTACAGCAGCCTGAAGAGCCTGCAGAACATCATGCATGAGATAGAGCTGCTGCGGAGCTCCAGCGACCGCCAGGTAGAGGAGGCCATGCTGTGTAATCAGAGACTGGAGCAGGAACTGTGGAGCTCTAAAGAGACAGTGGCCGCTCTGGAGGACTGCAACCAAGCCCTGAAGAGGGAGCAGGTGGGCATGAGGAGGAAGGTGGAGGAGGCGAGGCAGGCGCTGCTCAGCGGCCTGGGTAAGGTGAAGGAACTGGAAGCCAAGGCCAGTCATGTGCCGGCGCTGCAGAGACACATCCTCCAGCTGGAGTCAGAACTCCTCTACTACAGGTAAAAACATTTGGAACACTGGGTCTCATGTAGCATTTTAGCATCAACTTAACATTACTTTGTGTTATAGTCATAGGAACTTTTCCTAGGGACTAGGAACCTTTGGGGGAACTCATTGTATTTCATTATTTTACCACCTAAAATGGGGTCTGGGACTTGCAGCACTGAATGTTTCTGATTGGTCAAGTACTTGCAGCATTTTATTTCAGCCACCATCTTTAAAAATCTGCAGCTGCAAACAAGTTTAGTTTTTGTTCATTGTGCTGCGACACTTCAACACAGAGTTCAGAAGAAAGCACACAACAGATGGACCGACGACAAAGTCCAGGCTTTACTGAGCATTTATTGCACACAAACAAAGTTTTTCATACGCCAGCAGACTAATTTGCCTAATGTTTGTGAGTCTTGTGACAGCGGTGGAAACAGACAACAACAGGCTGAAGGAACTTTTTAATTCCTTTAAAGGTTGTTCTGGGTGCTTTTATGGAAACCAGCATTTGTTATTGTCTAAGCAGTAGTATAACAAGACACACTGTCACAGCTTAGGATTTAGCCACCAAGTGCCTCTGGGTAAGAGCACATCCTCAACAAACACTGGACTATCTTGACACAACAGCCATCATATTGTTGCTAGTTTTATGCTTTACTATCCGATAATTCAAGGGGGGGGCCTTTTTTCATTTTGTTTTTTTTTGGCGGTTTTTTTTTGGGGGGGGAAAGGGGGGGGGGGGGGGTTTTTGGGGGGATTAAATATAAAGGCCCTTTTGTTTTTTTTTTAAAAAAAAAAAAATTTTTCAGTGTCTTCACCACTTAATTTAAACTTTTTTTAAAATGCGTTTGTTGACACATTGCTGTATTTCTTGGTGTGTTATCGCCACCAGTTGTTGATCAAAAGAATAGCGTGAAACCAGAAGCAGTAAATGTGTATCCTGTTTGCCTGCACATTAATGCCTGATACAAAAAAACAGGGACCCACTCATAAAAATGTTGCTCCATCGTGCTGCAAGTGGTCAAAAACTCTGCTGGGTGCCTTTAATGTATTTACACTGATTAAAGAAGTATGTCATTTTAGGAGATCTTATTCCTGAATGGAGACTTACAACATCGTGTATGTCTAAGTCAATCTCATCCATGCCCCTTCTATCCCCTTTATAATGCTGAACTGAAAGCTGATTGACACTGTCAGGCGGCGAATTGGTTAAATTGATAGTTAACACTCCCATTTAAAATAGTTTTCCCGCCCTCTCAAAGTGTCCGGTCTGCAGAGACACACACTTCATGTGTCATGGGAACTTAAAGAGGCATGGGATATGTGATTAGCTAAGAGGTGAGCAGAGACAACATTACAATAAAAAGTGACATTGTGCAATACGAAAGTGGCAGGAAATACAGGAAGAAATGCCATTATGAAATAAAAGCAGACTTTTAAAAAAGGGCATTTTGACATAAAAATGTCTATTATGAAATTTTAATTATAACAGCGGCACATTGATGTATCAAAATAAATGCTGCCCCAAGGTCACAGAGCGAGTGCATAGGCTAGACAAAGACCTTTTTACCTCTTCATTAGGTCCAATCAGCTGTCAGACCCTGAGCAAAACAAGTGTCTGGCTGTTCATCATGTCATGAGGAAGAAGGGCTTTTTTTTGGCACGGTTGTGCATTAAGGAGGCTTTTGTGGCCAGAATGAACCATAAGGAATTATAATTCCTCCTAGACTAAAATGACTTTGTTTACCTCTGGCTTAATGCCTGGAAAACTCTGCCATGCTACTTATGGAGGCTTGATGTGGTTTACTATTCCAATTTTCAGCCTTGTTGTGTCTTAGTTTATTTAACAGGCATCGTGTGTGGCAGGTTGGTCTTGCCTGAGCTCCGCTACTGTTGGGAACTATTCATTTTGCTGGAAGTAAGGGTGTAATTGGAGTTTTAAAGTACAAAGCTATTGGTTTAATGTTTATCTCTGTGTCTGTTGTCTCTGCTCCAGCCATATAATCAGTGTCTGCAGGTCTGGCTTTCTTGCGTAACAGATATCTCTAAATGGTTGTAACATCTACCTAATGTTGTTATTATAAACTCTAAGACACAATCACACACCATCAGACCGATAGGATGGAAGTCCTCACTATTACCTGCCTTTAGGTGATTCTAAATAACAAATTTCACAACCACAATACCCTTCCTTTAACCCTAAACTCCACTAATCTATGCAGACTGCGTTCCAAAGTCTTTTCAGTGCCCTTCCATTGATACCCTAATGGCAAATAATTCAACACCACAAAGGCTCTGACTTGTCAAGAGAAAGCTCCATTGAGTTAGAACCTCAACAGACTGACGGTTCTCATCAATCTCTGCTCACAACTGAACAATACCACACAGGCAACCCCGTCCTATGGATCTTAGCAACCAAGCTCCATGAATATTCCCACTGAACGCCTCAGTGCTAGCTCAGTCACGTCTCATCCGAGGACATGGGTTAGAGAGAAAGGTGCCCAGTTGAGGTGTTGTGTTTTCAGCTTTAAGTGAGATGCAGTGCTTTTTTCGTCCTCCTTTACAACTTGCTTGTAAACTGTGGGACTCTGAGTCACTTCCAAATTAAGTCATTACTCTTTCAACACACCATCTCATTGTCAGATGTCTGGGATCATATGTGGTGGGTTTAGAGAGGCAGAAGTCCGTCAAAGGGTTCTGCTGAAATGATCGACCGTAACTTTATCCCTGCGGCTTATTTCTAAACTGCTGTGACAAGTAATGAGATTAACTTGATGCTGCTGGATCCCAGAGATACAGAGTTACAGGGCTGGGGGTGGGGTGGGGTGGGGTGGGGAGGTGGGTAAGAGCTGGCACTGCCCCAGTGGTGGGATTCAACTTACAATAAGGATGGATATAGACAATATAGTGATTACACCAGATGGTTTGTTACACATGACCATATGGAAAGTCATTGTACAAAACTGCTTGAAAAAGGGCACCATCACCGTCTTTCACAAGCAAACTTCAACCATTCTTACTGAAGCCAGTCAGGACAAGAACCAAAACATATTTTCTGTGGAGAAAAGCCTTCAGGGTCGTTCTTTGCTCTTCTTTCAATGAAGAAATACTCTAGTTCTGATTTAACTGATGCTAGCAGCAGGACCCGAACCCATGACCACTGCAGCAAGAACCCAGCCCCTGGTACATGGGGCACCAGCTCCACCAGGTGAGCCATAGGGCGCACTGCCGGCATTGTTGTTTAACGAGCGCCCACCCCCGTAGTTGCCAGTACTTCCACAAAACGCTGACTGCTTCGGTTCCACTGTACTGGCCACAAATGCATATATTGTGACACCATGTGAATATTTTTGCATCTGTAACGTTTGAAGGAATAGCTGCGGCCTAGTTGGAACATAGATAAGATGATTAATACCACTCTAATAGCTAGAGATTTTCTGATACCAATACGATTCTGATGCCTGAGTACCGATCCGATACATGTAAGTTAAAAAATAGATTATATATAATAATATTGTGTATACTACAGGTGGTGCATTACATTTGCACTGAGAAGTCTTCAACTGGCATGCCCCCTGAAGTTGGATTTTCAACTGGGAAAGTTGGAACAACCCCACCAACCCTGACCTAAAAATCCAAGATGGCTGCTTTGCACATCAACTAAGTGAAAACTCTAGTACTATACTGTTTATAAGCACTTCTGTCTTTTGTGTCTCATTAAATCAGTTGTGCGCACAGTACTGTCCAACCTCTGTCTGTCGACATGTCCGTATGAGAAAAATACAGTTTAATGTGTTGTTATCAACTGGTAATGCTAAAAGTGGCTAATGGCTAACCTGCCTAGAGCTTGGTTTTCCAACTTGTTGTAGTGGAACGTAGTGAACTCGGGTGCGAAGTCATTCCCAGCTCCGACTTCGGACTTCCGAGGTAAATGGAACGCACCATAAGCCTGTATACTTTCTGCCATTGTTGTATGGCCTAGGTCAGGTTAAACCCTTTGTCAGAGTCAGAGTATGGTGGCTCATGACTTTGCTATATTCGGGGGAAAATGGCAGTTTGGAATAAATTATGTGGTACAGGATCGGTGCATAGACACGTGTTCTTGGACAGTATCGAAGGAATTTCCGATACTACAGACTGCAAACAGATGGAAGGAACTAGCCAGACAAACTCTGTCTACCAGTATCTCTAAAACTCACAGAATAGCAGTTCATATCTTGTCTGTTTATCAATGCAAAAAACTATATACGTATTAAAACAATAAGTTGTGGTTGTATGTGTTAATTTGATTTACTGTTTTTCGCATCTGCTGATGTACAATATCATCATCTTGAAAATCCTCTTTCAACTTTCCATCAACATCCCAGCAGAGCTCATTGTAAAAAATGCAGTCATCTGTATGAAACCTAAGATGTGTGGGTGTTGTTGCATAACATGTCTGTGATTTCTTTGGATCGTATGCTACAGAACGGAGCCGAGGCTGAGACTCAGATGGGAACCGCGCCTTCAGCAGGAGTTGATTAGCACAGGAAAGTCTTTGTATAATGGGGTTGTCTAAAAGTGTCACTTTTAGTTCTGTTTTTTTTACTCTCTAGAAGGTAAAGAGAGTCTAAATCAGTCACTGTAGCCTATAGAGCCCTGTGGGCCAGAGGGGTTAGACAATAGGAAGCACCGTGAGAGAAACAAAAAGAAATGAGGGGGAGGAAAGTCTACCATCTGGAGGAAGAAGCAAACACTTGACTGTTTGTTCATGAAATGACAGACATGTTTTGCAAGGCACGCAAAAGAGGAATGGCTTCATTCAGCTTTCCATCTTCTTTTTGTTCTCCAAAGAAAAGACGTAGAGTGGAGATACAAAATCACTCATTAAAATGAACTGTGGTCGTCTTTCAACCAGAGCTTCTTTGGTTTTACTGTCCTCTTGACTCCAGGTGTCTCTGTTTACACAGTCCAGGGATTTCTAGAGAGCACACCAAAGTGCATGTGTCCTAAGTGTGCAAGTTTAAAACTC